GTATTGATCTCAAAGAATTACTGTAAAGATTAAATGAGAGTATACATTTTAATGTCATTAGTACAGTGCCTGACACATATGTGTTAGCCACATATAAAAATTATATGATTACATTTTTTTTTTTTTAAGACAGGGTCTCCCTCTGTTGCCCAGGCTGGAGTGCAGTGCAGTGGCACGATCTTGGCTCACTACAGCCTCTGCCTCTGGGTTCAAGCAATTCTCCCACCTCAGCCTCCCAAGTAGCTGAGACTACAGATGCACACCACCAGGCCCAGCTAATTTTTCTATTTTTTTGTAGAGACAGGGTTTCACTGTGTTGCCCAGGCTGGTTTCAAACTCCTGGACTCAAGCAATCCACCAACCTCAGCCTCTCCAAGTACTGAGACGTTTCACCATGCTGGCCAGGCTGGTCTCGAACTCCTGACCTAAAGTTATCCACCCACCTTGGCCTCCCAAAGTGCTGGGTTTACAGGCGTGAGCCACTGCGCCCGGCACTTACTATTTTTTTAGAGACAGGGTCTCACTCTGTTGTCTCACTCTGGAGTGCAGTGGTGCTATCACAGCTCATTGCAGCCTCAAACTCCTGGGCTCAATCATTCCGCCTCAGTCTTCCAAGTAGCTGGGACTACAGGCACGTGCCACCACAACCGGCTAATATTTTATTTTCTGTAGAGATAGGGTCTCACTATGTTGCCAGGCTGGTCTTGAACTCCTGGCCTCAAGCAATCCTCCTGCCTCAGCCTCCCTAAATGCTGGGATTACAGGTATGAGCTACTGTGCCTGGCTGAAACTGTTTCTTTTTAATAGGGACGTCTTAATCATCCAATCAGTGGCCTTTTCCCAGTACTCATCCTTACCACCTTCAGTGACGCCACTGATCCTGCCATGAAAATGGCTTTGAGAGGAAGGAGGGTGGTGTGGTTAAGACCTGGAAATCTGGCTGCTCTTAGAGTCCTCAAGTCACCATTTAAGAAATCCAAGGCCGAGTGGGCACAGTGGCTCATGCCTGTAATCCCAGCTACTTGGGAGGCTAAGGCAGGAGAATCACTTGAACCCGGCAGTTGGAGGCTACAGTGAGCTGAGATCGTGCCAATGAACTCCAGCCTGGGTGACAGAATAAGACTCTGTCTCGAAAAAGAAAAGAAAAGAAATCCAACCAGCCTGGGAGCTAGCCACCTCAGCCACCCCAGCTGAGGCACCAGATGGCCCAGCCCCAGATGAACAGAGCTGAGTGACCTCAGCTAATGCCACATGGAAAAGAAGAACCTCCCAGTTGAGCCCAGCCATCCCACATAATCAAGTACGTCTTTAGAAAGATAAACTGCACAAACTAATTGAAAAGAAAAAGAAAAATGTTGAAATCCCAGGGGAGTTAGGTGAATGTTCAGTTCTCCAGGAGTCAAGTGCTTGGCTCTATTCAAAGAGGTGAAAGAAAGCAGATCGGATCAGAGCAAACACAGGCATCAAATGGAACATGTTGACAGAAGATTTGGGTTGCCACAGAATCACATGGACATGCCCAACACAGTGCAAAGCATACTAGAATGAAGTAAACTCTTCTAAAGAAACCAGTGGTAAAGACACCATCCTCAAAGACTACACATTGAAGAAGTATGGAGGCGAAAACTAAGAACTTGGTAATAAATAAAGTAAAACTGGGATCTCAGCACAGACTATTTAATATAAAACAATGTCCAACTCACATGAGGAAGATGTATGGTAGAACTTAGCAGTGCTGGTCCTGGTTAAAAATTCTCCTTTAACTTTTCAGACGCAGTCTCGCTCTGTCGCCCGGGCTGGAGTGCAATGGCGCAATGTCGGCTCACTGCAATCTCTGCCTCCCAGGTTCAAGCGATTCTCCTGCCTCAGCCCCCTGAGTAGCTGGGATTACAGGCACCTGCCATCATGCCCAGCTAATTTTTGTATTTTTGTTAAAGACGGGGTTTCACCATGTTGGCCAGGCTGGTCTTGAACTCCTGACTGCAGGTGATCCACCCACCTCGGCCTCCCAAAGTGTTGGGATTACAGACGAAGCCACCGTGCCCGGCCAAAAATTCTCCTTTATTCTTTGAGAGGGACATAACACTAATAATCCAGAACCTAGTGTATATCCTTTAGTTTGCTTCATCTCATCTTCCTAAAGTCCTGTATTAAAAATAAAAACCTCTAGCTTTTATATCTGTATTGGTACATGCCAGATTTGGGGTGAAGATTCTGGTATCCAAAATTACGTGAACAATTTAACAAAAAGACAAAAAAGACAATAAGCAATTTAATTTCAATCTCAGTAGAATTCAAAGAAAGGCAATTAACAAATGTCAGGGGGTTTTGTTTTTGCTTTGTTTGTTTGTTTTGAGACAGGGTTTCACTTGTTGCCCAGGCTGGAGTGCAGTGGCGTGATCTTGGCTTACTACAACCTCAAATTCCTGGACTCAAGCGATGCTCCCAGTTCAGCCTCCTGAGTAGCTGGGACTACAGGTGTGCACCATCACGCTGAGAGGAGTTAGCTAGCTTTCCTTAGGTAGACAGCAAGGGGAGGGTCCCCAAAGAGCCCCCAACCCACGGGTCAGTGCCTCATCCCCACATAACATAAAAAGCAGCCTGGGGATAAAAATCAAGCTGCAGGCACCGATAAGGGAATTAGCACAGGGTGGTGATGTGCCTGGAGACAAGCCCGCGGCTGCACAGATCGGAGAACCTCCAGCCCACTCAGATAAAAACTTGCACAAACCTCCGGCTCACTCAGATAAGGGAACAAGACCTGACATAGAAATGTCTTTGTCTTTTGTATAATCATCAGGCTCCCAGGAAAAAGTTTCTTCTCCTTTTGTAGGCATGAACACTGTGGGCTCCGACGACTCTGGTGAGCCCTTTCGTTTTTCCAGTGTTGAGCCCGGCCTCTAAGAATTACTTCAGCACTATTGGTCCCGGGCCAAGCTTTCACTTCAGCTCCTGATAGGTCCCGGGCCAAGCTTTCACTTCAGCTCCTGATAGGTCCCGGGCCAAGCTTTCACTTCAGCTCCTGATAGGTCCCGGGCCAAGCTGAGTAGCCCCAATGAATCATCAATTCAGCTCCTGATTGGTCCCGGGCCAAGCTGAATTTCACTTCCTCCAAGACAGCTCACAGACTAAGCAAATTCCTTCCCCTTCCCAGTCCGCAAAAACCCCCGACCCCAGCCTCATAGTGGGCAACCCATTCAGGCCCCCACTCTCCGCTGCGGAGAGCTTTCTTTTTCTCTTTTTCTTTTTTTTTTCTTTTTTTGAGATGGAGTTTTGCTCTTGTTGCCCAGGCTGGAGTGCAATGGCGCGATCTCGGCTCACCACAACCTCCGCCTCCCGGGTTCGAGGGATTCTCCTCAGCCTCCCGAGTAGGTGGGACTACAGGCGTGTGCCACCACGCCCAATTAATTTTGTGTTTTTAGTAAAGACACGATTTCTCCATGTTGGTCAGGCTGGTCTCGAACTCCGGACCTCAGGTGATCCACCAACCTCGACCTCCCAAAGTGCTGGGATTACAGGTGTGAGCCACCGCACCCAGCGGAGAGCTTTCTTATTCTGCTTCTTAAACTTTCACTCCAACCTCACCCTTGTGTTTGTGCTCCGTGAGACAAAGAACTCTGGATACTATCTCAGACAACTAGAGATGGCTACATTTTGGTGCATTGGCGAGACTACAACACCCTGCTAATTTTTGTATTTTTGTAGAAACAGGTTTTCACCCTGTCGCCCAGGCTGGTCTTGAACTCCTGACCTCAAGCAATCTGCCTGCCTTGGCCTCCCAAAGTGCCACCACAAAACTATGAGCCACCACATCCAGCAGAATGTCATTTTTCACCTATCAAAATGGCAAAGTTTTTTTTTTTTTTTTGCTTTGCTTTTTTTTTTTTAATTATACTTTAAGTTCTAGGGTACATGTGCATAACGTGCAGGTTTGTTACATATGTATACTTGTGCCATGTTGGCGTGCTGCACCCATCAACTCGTCAGCACCCATCAACTCGTCATTTACATCAGGTATAACTCCCAATGCAATCCCTCCCCCCTCCCCCCTCCCCATGATAGGCCCCAGTGTGTGATGTTCCCCTTCCCGAGTCCAAGTGATTTCATTGTTCAGTTCCCACCTATGAGTGAGAACATGCGGTGTTTGGTTTTCTGTTCTTGCGATAGTTTGCTGAGAATGATGGTTTCCAGCTGCATCCATGTCCCTACAAAGGACACAAACTCATCCTTTTTGATGGCTGCATAGTATTCCATGGTGTATATGTGCCACATTTTCTTAATCCAGTCTGTCACTGATGGACATTTGGGTTGATTCCAAGTCTTTGCTATTGTGAATAGTGCCAAATAAACGTATGTGTGCATGTGTCTTTATAGCAGCATGATTTATAATCCTTTGGGTATATACCCAGTAATGGGATGGCTGGGTCATATGGTACATCTAGTTCTAGATCCTTGAGGAATCGCCATACTGTTTTCCATAATGGTTGAACTAGTTTACAATCCCACCAATAGTGTAAAAGTGTTCCTATTTCTCCACATCCTCTCCAGCACCTGTTGTTTCCTGACTTTTGAATGATCACCATTCTAACTGGTGTGAGATGGTATCTCATTGTGGTTTTGATTTGCATTTCTTTGATGGCCAGTGATGATGAGCATTTTTTCATGTGTCTGTTGGCTGTATGCATGTCTTCTTTTGAGAACTGTCTGTTCATATCCTGGCAAAGATATTTTTAAAAGAAAAGATAAAAATTGGCAAAGTTCAGGGAAATTGCTAATGTGTCAGTGATTGTGTGAAACTGTTCTGAAGGGTCACATGAAATACATATTCAAAGCCTTCAACGTGTGCCTACTATTTGACCTAAATATCTCATTTAATATTTTTCCAAAGAGAATAATTTAAGGGTCAAATGTTTTAGAGTATTTAGGATATTTACTGCAACATTGTTTATAATAGCAAAAAGGAAATACTAGAAAAAGCTTCAGTGTACAGCAGCAAATGGTTAAATATATAATATATTATCTATACAATAGCATGCAGTAGGTCTCTTAACTCCACTTAACACATTCACAAAACTCCCCAGGGTGCATCCCTCCCCGTTAGCCACCCCCCATCATGTCATACGTAGATATGCAAAATGCTGTATTGAAGGGCCAGGTAAATCTCAGTCAGGATGGCATTCCAGCATGGAGAGACAAGTTATTACAGTACAGCATATACTTGATTCCATGAGTCAAACTGCATGCTTCCAAGAGATAGTTGTGTTTGCTCCTGTGACTATTTCATGCTGGAGGTGCTTGTTGACACTGTGATTTCAATAAACATTACATAAACTAATATAAAAAATTGTTTGAGACAGGGTCTTTCTCTGTCACTCAGGCTGGAGTGCAGTGGTATGATCATAGCTCACTGCAGATTCAAACTCCTGGACTCAAGCAATCCACTCACCTCAGCCTCCTAACTAGGACTACAGGTGCACACCACCATGCTCGGATAATTTTTTAACTTTTTGTAGAGACAGGGTCTCACTATGTTTCCCAGGCTGTTCTCAAGCGATCCTCCCACCTCAGTCTCCCAAAGTGCTGACATTACAGGCATGAGCCACCACTGTGCCTGGCCTAAAAATTTTTTGTTAAAAATGTTTTCCACTGGCCGGGTGCAGTGGCTCACGCCTGTAATCCCAGCACTTTGGGAGGCCAAGGTAGGTGGATCACCTGAGGTCAGGAATTCGAGACCAGCCTGGCCAACATGGTGAAACCTCGTCTCTACTATACAAAAATTAGCCAGGCGTGGGGGCGGACACCTGTAATCCCAGCTACTCAGGAGGCTGAGGCAGGAGAATTGCTTGAACCCAGGAGGCAGAGGTTGCATTGAGCTGAGATCGTGCCACTGCACTCCAGCCGGGGTGACAGACTAAAACTCTGTCTTAAAAAAAAAAAAAGCTTTCCACCTAATTCTGAGGCAGAGCCAAGTTTGTGAACACTAATGTAGAACCCACAGTAAATATTGCTTCCTTCTTGGGAGCACTTTTCCCAGAGATTATTTTTTTTTCTAAGTTACCTTCCTATTGAAAAAGAAGCGGTCTTGGCTGATTTTTTTGGGGGTTTTGTTTTTTTTGAGATGGAGTCTCGCTCTGTCACCCAGGCTGGAGTGCAGTGGTACAATCTCGGCTCACTGCAAGCTCCGCCTCCCGGGTTCAAGCAATTCTCTGCCTCAGCCTCCCGTGTAGCTGGGATTACAGGCACCCACCACCACGCTCGGTTAATTTTTGTATTTTTAGTAGAAACGGGGTTTCACCATCTTGGCCAGGCTGGTCTTGAGCTCCTGACCTCATGATCCATCTACCTCGGCCTCCAAAGTGCTGGGATTACAGGTATAAGCTACCACGCCCTGCCACCTAGGAGGCAGATTAACGGGAATGCCTCCCTTGGGCTTCCTAGGTGACACTGTGATATTAGGTATGACCTCTCTTGCTCTATTCCTTGAAAGCAGTACAGGTACTGGTCAAGAGTGCCCTGGACCCACATTGCCTGGTTTTGAATCCCAGCACCTCCACATGTTACACGTCAGACCTCGAGCAAGTTACTTAAGCTCTCTTGTGCTTCAGTTTCCTGAATGGCCTAACCCTAAGAGGGGGTTACAGAACGTGCCTCATAGTGTTGATTGGAAGAAATAAAGGAGCTCAGACCTGCCAAGTGCTGAGGATGGTGCCTACCTAGCACATGGCAATGCTCCATAAACGTAAGCAGCTATTATTATTGTGGTTCCTATTTTTTAAATCAGATATATCCTGCCTAGCCACCAGCAGAATGTGCTAAATAGCTGTCCGGTGAATGAAAGAATGACCAAATGGTCCTGTGTTTTTCCTTATCTAGATCATCTCTACACACCTCCTCATGGTATGGTTTCAGACCCAAATCTTCCCACAAATCTTTACAGATGCAGTATCTTTTGTTAAATCCCTTCACCCCAACTTTTCATCTACCCTCTGACAACAAAAGTTGGGAAATAGAGGGAAGCAAAGGAATCATGTATGGCTGATGGGATTTAGACAGCACAGAGGAACTGGTTAAGTTTAAAGAATGTCATCCAAACACCCTGGCAGGAAACCTTGTATACTGACAGTTGCAACATGTGTAAGAAAAGAATGAATCCAATGGTATCCTCAATTATTTATTTTTGAGACAGAGTCTCATTCTGTCGCCCAGGCTGGAGTGCAGTGGTGTGATCTCAGCTCAATGCAACCTCCACCTGCTGGGTTCAAGCAATTCTCCTGCCTCATCCTCCCAAGTAGCTGGGGCTACAGGCACACGCCACCATACCCGGCTAATTTTTTGTATTTTTAGTAGAGATGGGGTTTCACCATGGTGGCCAGGATGGTCTTGATCTCCTGACCCTCATGATCCACCCGCCTCAGCCTCCCAAAGTGCTGGGATTATAGGAATGAGCCACCGCACCCAGTCTCTCAATTTTTTGTTTGTTTGTTTTTTTAGAAGATAGGAGGCAACATGGTAGGTTCATAATTTAAAAATTGTTTTGAAAGTATTTATTGTTTAATAATTCTTTCTCCCCTCAGCCCCATCTGGCCACTCTCTCTTTCTGCTTTTCTGATCATCCTAAAGGCTGAATACATCCTCCTCCTGTATGGAGGATAAGATGCAACACTCAAACCAATACACTCGATCAGGTCTTCATTAGATACCACGTCACTGTGGGTGGAGTGCTAGTTTTCAACAAATGTGGTGTTCCTAGGGTTCCAAAGGTAGTCCTTTCTCACGGTCGCTGGGCCACTCATGGAGTTGAAATGCCGCTGCCCATCTAAGTACAACATGGACTCTGAAACACAAGAGAGAACCCTGGAGAAACTTGTAACACCTTAGAAAGCCACCATATAAACACAAGACTACTTGGGAACACTGGGACAGAACAAGATGCATTGTTGGGCCAGGGGTGTGCCACATTCCCAAAGGAGCAGGCCATGACTCCTGTCCCCTTCCTTTGGCTGGATCAGTTTTTGACTACCAGTGGCTGCTTGCCTGCCTGGGGGCCACAGGCATCTTTGGTCTTCAGGGCTGCCAGATCTCAAAAGCAAAATCTCCTAAAGACATGCTCTTGTGCTGACAGGCATTAATACACTTCCTACAATTCAAAAGGAGAAAAATGTCCTTAGAAGTTCTTCCCTTTGTTAGGGACAAGCAATAATCACTACTTACCTCCATATGTTTTGGGGAAAACCAATGGCACTTCTTTTTCTGACATGAACGTGAAATGAAAGACATTGGTGGTTGTATGCTCCTTCTCCTGCAGGGACGCCACTTCACTGTGTACTCTGACTTGAATGTAATTATTCTGAGTAAAGCATACCTAACAGATTATAGACACTATAGTCAGTCAACTGCATTAGGAAGGGGAAAAAGACAGTCATAAGAGAAAACAGTGGCTTTTGGATATAGAAACTTCTAGGCTCAAATGAAAAAAAAAGTTGTATGTCAACTCTCATCACACACCTACCTGCGAAGAAAGAAAGAGCAATGAGCCAACCTCAACAGGTTTCTGAAACATGATGTCATCTACTGCTACCACAAACGGTCGAGAACCACTATTGGGGAGAAAGACAGAATTTGGGGTATACTACAAAATTCAGATGATCTCAATTTTTTTCCCTAACAACTAGCTGAAGCAAAATAACAATGAATGAAGAATAAACTTAGACAAGGGGGAAAAGATCCTACCAGTGAGGAATGGTAAGAGATGCCATCGTGAGCAGATTAGGGCCAAAATAACTGTATCTTTTCCCTCCTACATATCATCACTGTATTTTCTCAGTGGTTTTTCAAATGTATGAACTTACAAAGTCAGAAACAACCTTCTAAAATGAAGATCAAACTCAGCTGGTATCAGTGTGGTATTCATTTAAAAACATAACATATTCCCACACACACCCAGACTGGTCTGAAATGTTTCATTTCAGTGGGGTGATATAAATTGCTTCTCAGAAGTTAAGACTGCCTTACATATAACTCACCCGAAGCTACAGGCAGTAGCCCACCCAAGTTCATATGCTTTCCTCATAAGGAAACCACCAAAGATCCGATTGAAAATGTTCCGCTCCTACAGCACATAAATAAATATCAATGAATACAAACTTATGGCCACCTTTGTATACAGAACAGAGGAATTAACAATGCCACAGGACAAAGGCCAGTTTAAAGGTATGTCAAATCTTGGACAAATATCATGAATGGAAGCTATCCTATTCAGATTTCTCACTAAATTATAATACCTGAGGGTGGCAAATTTCCAAACTCTTCAGTTTTGAATTCTCCATCCACACCGCATTAGGGGGCAAAACTCGACTCCGAAAACTTATAGTCCTATACAAATGAATATTTATTAAACCCTGTTAATGCCATGGTTCTCTTGTTGAAAAGTAAAAACGTTTGCAAGTCACTCCCAATACACTCAGACAATTGTGGCTCTAAAGAAGGCCAAGGTTTAGGCCAGGCACGGTGGCTCGTGCCTGTAATCCAGCACTTTGGGAGGCCAAGGCTGGCAGATCACCTGAGGTCAGGAGTTTGAGACCAGCCTGGCCAACATGGTGAAACCCCCGTCTCTACTAAAAATACAAAAAAAAAATTAGCTGGGCATGGTGACAGGCACCCGTAATCCCACCTACTTGGGAGGCTGAGATGGGAGAATTGCTTGAACCCGGGAGGCAGAGTTTGTAGTGAGCCAAGATCATGCCACTGCATTCCAGCCTGGGCGGCAGGGTAAGACTCCGTCTCAAAAAAAAAAAAAAGATCGGGTGTGGTGGCTCACGCCTGTAATCCCAGCAGTTTGGGAGGCCGAGGCAGGCAGCCTGACCAATGTGGAAAAACCCCATCTCTACTAAAAATACAAAATTAGCCAGGCGTGGAGGTCCATGCCTGTAATCCCAGCCACTCAGAGGCTGAGGCAGGAGAATTGCTTGAACCCAGGAGGCAGAGGTTGTGGTGAGCTGAGATCATGCCATTGCACTCCGGCCTGGGTAGCAAGAAAGAAACTGTGTCTCAAAAAAAAGGCCAAGGTTTAAATGTTTTTCCAACGTGGAATCTCACCATCCTTACTTTGGATCCAGTGTGCTGAGAAACATCTCATGTATGGTGGTCCTCTCCTCAGCGCTGGGGGCCATTTTCAGTAACGACGTGGAACTGAAGGCAATTCTTCTCCCCTTGTTCACTGAAACATGGGAGAGTAAGGAGCAATGATCAGGAGGGTCACACTACAGCACAGGGCGTTCTGGGGTGCCATTCAAAATCTCACTGAAAATTATACACATATCCAAGAGAAAACTGCAGAGGCCACATAAAACTCCCAGTGAGTCTTTGGTTCCACGTGGAAATTATATTGGTTCAGTGTGAGATCACTTGATATCATCCTGATCCAGAGCTCTGACCTGCAGTTATCCCATCAAGATGCATTTCTCACTTCATTAAAACGGAGAAAACAGGCCAGGTGCAGTGGCTCATGCCTGTAATCCCAACACTTTGGGAGGCTGAGGCAGGAGGATCACTTGAGCCCAGGAGTTCAAGACCAGCCTGGGCAACATAGTGAGACCCCTGTCTCTACAAAAAAAAAAAAAAAAAATTTAATTAGCCAGGCATGGTGGCATGTGCCTACAGTCCTAGCTACTTGGGAGGCTGAGGTGGTGGATAGCTTGGGCCCAGGAGGTCGAGGCTACAATATAGTTCATTGCAGCCTCAAACTCCTGGACCCAAGCCCAACTCCAGCCTGGGCAACAGAGCAAAAACCCGTCTTTTAAAAAAAAAAAAAAAAAAACTGAGATAACAAATTACTTCACTTAGTAAATATTGTCTGATCAATAAAATCATTCAAAGGACTGCAAAGAACAAAGAATAGCATATTTTTAATTTCAATAAATTATTGGTATGAATAAGACATTTGGGTCAGGCACAGTGACTCACGCTTGTAATCCCAACACTTTGGGAGGCCAAGGCAGGCAGATCACAAGGTCAGGAGATCGAGACCATCCTGGCCAACATGGGGAAACCCCATCTCTACTAAAAATACAAAAATTAGCTGGGTGTGGTGGCACACACCTGTAGTCACAGCTACTCGGGAGGCTGAGGCAGAAGAATCGCTTGAACCCAGGAGGCAGAGGGTGCAGTGAGCCGAGATGGTACCACTGCACTCCAGCCTAGCAACACAGAGAGACTCCATCTCAAAAAAAAAAAAAACAAACAAACAAAAGACATTTGACTGGTATGAAGAACCCATATAAAATCTTAAATAATCTCTTCTTCAGTGTAATTAATGTGCTTTTCAAATTTATTTTATTATAAACAAATTAATGTACATTCTCCTTGTCTAAAGAGCTCCTCTTCCTCCGGGCTTTCAAGGATGAGTGGATTTACAAATGCCGGCCTAAAAAGAAGAAAAAAATATATATAATTTAAGATACGCCATTATCTAATAAAACTTGAAGATGAACTTACTAGTTCATCTAATCACCTACTAGTTTTACTAATCACCTACTAGTCTTAAAGAATCTGCTTTTCATTTTGGGTAGTGCTTACTGCTTGCCTTACACGTGAACGCTGGAACAATTAGGGAAGCCTTACGGTTACAGCCTTAATTGCACACTAGAAACTTCACATTATAAAAAGGATAATGGCAATTGCGAAATGTTTAACCTGATTCTAATCATGAGGAAATAGTCAAATATAGGTTGTAGAACATTCCACAAGAAAACTGGCTTTAGGCCAGGCATGGTGGCTCACGTCTGTAATCCCAGCACTTTGTGAGGCCAAGCTGGGCGGATCACCTGAGGTTGGGAGTTCCAGACCAGCCTGACCAACATGGAGAAACCTGGTTTCTACTAAAAACACAAAATTAAGCCGGGCGTGGTGGCACATGCCTATAATCCCAGTTACTCGGGAGGCTGAGACAGGAGAATTGCTTGAACCTGGGAGGCGGAGGTTGTGATGAGCCGAGATCGTGCTACTGCACTCCAGCCTGGGCAACGAGCGAAACTCTGTCTCAAAAAAAGAAAGAAAAAAAGGGAAAGGAAAACTGGCTTGGACTCTTTAAAAATATCAATTTTTGAAAGACAGCAAATGGCACAGAGACTATTCAAAAGAAACAGGATAACCAAATGCAATATATAATCCTTGATGGATTGGGTCCTGAATCGGGGAGATAGCTATAAAGGACATTTTAGGGACAACTGGTGAAATCTGAATACGGATCACATATGAAATAATTGTATCACTGCTAAATTTCTCAGATACAATAAAGGCATTGAGGTTATGTAGAAATACCTGGTTCTTAGGAAATAGATGCTGAACTCCTGAATGGGTGAAGCAGTCTCAAACTTACTTTTCAGTGATTCATGGGAAAAAATATGTAAGTATGTGTATTTATAGAGAGAGGTTAAGAGAATAACGCAAATGTAATACAATTTAGGTGAAAGGCATTTGTTTGTTGCATTATTCTTTCTACTTTTCTGTAAGCATCAAATTTCTTGAAATAAAAAATAAGGGAAAAGGGATAATACTTCACCGTGGTAGAATCCAAAGATTTGATGAAACAACAATGGAAACAAAATAATTGAAACAGGCCGGGGGCAGTGGCTCACACTTGTAATCCCAGCATTTTGGGAGGCCAAGGCAGGTGGATCACCTAAGGTCAGGAGTTCGAGACCAGCCTGGTCAACGCGGTGAAACCCCATGTCTACTAAAAATACAAAAATTAGCTGGGTGTGGTGGTGGGTGCCTGTAATCCCAGCTACTAGGGAGGCTGAGGCAGGAGAATCACTTGAACCCAGGAGGCAGAGGTTGCGGTGAGCCGAGATTGCACCATTGCACTCCAGCCTGGGCAACAAGAGCCAACCTCTGTCTTGAAAACAAAAAAACAAAAGAATTGAAACAACAGCTTGGAAAAGTGACATGCATCAGCTGGGAGTGAAACTTGCAGCAATGGCCTCAGTGCTTGAATAGAAGCCCCAGGCCAGTCACTGGCCACAGCAGGTCAGCTGGGGCTGGCAGGAAGGGCCAGAGTAGATGGGTGTTATTCTTCCTTCAGATCACTAAGTGACCAACATATTTTCCTATCTTAATTTGACTTTCCAAGTCAGCTTTCCATGCAGCAGCAAAGATTTTTCACTGCAGACTCCTAAATCAAGTTTCTAATACAAACGAGATTTCCCATAGGCCACTGAACTCTGTCCTGTGCAAAGAGCAATTCCTCCCACCCCAGCTCTACCCACACAATTAGTTTTTCTCAGTTTGGGTGTAACTGTTGTTAGAAACCAATAATTCAATTGAAGAGAAAAAAAGATGACGTAAAGTAAGTTGAAGTCTATATGGTTAAATCTGACTTGAAAATGACCATGAGGCTTTTTTTTTGAGGCAGGGTCTTGCTCTGTCGCCCAGGCTGGAGTGCAGTGGTACAACCTTGGCTTACTACAACCTCCGCTTCCCGGGTTAAAGTGATCCTCCCACCTCAGCCTCCCACATCGTCTGGGACTACAGACACATGCTACCACACCTGGCTAATTTTTTGTACTTTTAGTACAGATGGGGATTCGCCATGTTGCCCAGGCTGGTCTCAAACTCCTGGGCTCAAGTGATCTGCCCACCTTGGCCTCCCAAAGTGCTGGGATTACAGGCATGAGACGCCACATCCAGCCTTCACGAGGCTTTTTGTTTGTTTAAAATATATCCTAGCTCTGTCCACTGAAAAGGCCTAGAAACAATAACAAACTAGTAACAATGTACTGTTCTAGTGCCCAGATTTTGAGGTCTAAATACCAGTTCCCACTAAAAGAAACCCCAGAACTACTTGGAGAAATGGATGACACCAGGCCTGAGGCAGGAAATATGTAGGATGAGCCCAAGACATCTTGTGTCAGAGAGCAGGAAGGTATCAAAGAGACAGGTGGAAAGGAGCCAGCTTAGAGGAACTCCCACGGCCCAAAGATGGTACACTTGGAGCATCAAGAGAAACGATGGCTGCAATTTATTGAAATACATAAAACATATTAAAACCATGAATTCATAATGATACTGTTCTGGCAGGACAGTGGCTCACGCCTATAATCCTAGCACTTTGGGAGGCCGAGGCGAGAAGATCACTTGAGCTCAGGATTTTGAGATCAGTCTGGCCAACATGGCAAAACCCCATCACTACAAAAGGTTTAAAAATTAGCTTGGCAACTACTCAGGAGGCTGAAGCCAAAGAATCGCTTGGACCGGGAGGTGGAGGTTGCAGTGAGCCAAGATTGTGCCACTGCACTCCAGCCTGGGTAACAAGAATGAAACTCCATCTCAAAAAGAAAGAAAGAAAAAAAATTAGCTGGGCATGGTGGTATGCGCCTGTGGTCCCAGCTACTCAGGAGGCTGAAGCAGAAGGATTGCTTGAGCACAGGAGGCCCAGGCTGCAGTGAGCAGTGCTCATGACACTGCACTCCAGCCTGGACAGAAGAGCAAAACCTCATCTCAAAAAAAAAAAAAAAAATGGGGCTGGGCGTGATGGCTCACGCCTGTTATCTCAGCACTTTGGAATGCCTAGGTGGGCAGATCACTTGAGGTCAGGAGTTTGAGGCCAGCCCGGCCAACATGGTGAAACCCCGTCTCTACTATAAATACAAAGCAAATCAGCCAAGCATAGTGGTGCATGCCTGCAGTCCCAGCTACTCGGGAGGCAGAGGCAGGCGAATCTCTTCAACCCAGGAGACAGAGGCTACAGTGAGCCGAGATCGCGCCACTGCACTCCAGCATGGGTGACCAAGCGAGACTCCATCTCAAAAACACATACACACAGAAAAACAAAACAAAAAAAAAAAAAAAAGAAATTTAAAAACATGATACTTTTCTAAAAAGCTAAAAAACTGGGAAAGGCATGTCATCACCAGCTAGTGAACTAACTCCTTATTCTGAAAACATGTAAATAAAAGAATGAAGCATTGATCCTAACTCTCCATTTCAAACCCAATTGCCCTAGTTGTTAAGGGAAAGCTCTTCTTTACAGAATTCCAGCTGATAAATGTAGAAGGAATGACAAAATTTGAGAATTACTCTAAACCGCCTCATGATAGTAATTAAAGCAATGATCAGCAGTGGACGTCGAAAGCGCTGGAAAAAGACTGATGGGAAACTCAGCTATTTGCAGGATGACAAAGGAAACCCCTGTAGATTGTTGCTGATCAGAAGAGGAAAAACTGAACTTCACAAAGAAGAGATTAGGCTGTAACTGCTTGAACCCCCACACCAATCTTAGCATCACTGTGAGTGGGACAACTTGTACCTCCTGATATGATGCAACATGAGATATGAGATATACAGCATCACCTAGGTAGTACTCTCGCCAAATATGCTCAACCAAAATCTAATACAAGGCTTTAGATCTAACTTCAGTTTAGAGAAATTACTAGGGATAGAGAAAAACAAGACCAAAAAACAAACCAACCAACCACCATGAGAAAGCAATAAGACAAATCCAGAAAGTGGGACACTATTTAGAACAAACGATCCAGCCTCTCAACGAGTGAATAAGAAACAATAGGGGAAGACACACCTGTTCTGGATTAAAAAAGATTTAAGAGATTGCACAGCTCAGCTGGGCACGGTGGCTCACGCCTGTAATCTCAACACTTTGGGAGGCTGAGGTGGGTGGATCACTTGAGGTCGGGAGTTCAAGACCAGCCTGGGCAACATGGTGAAACCCACATCTCTACTAAAAATTAGCCAGGCATAGTGGCACACGCCTGTAATCCCAGCTACTCAGGAGGCTGAGGCAGGAGAATCGCTCAAACCCGGGAGGCGGAGGTTGCAGTGAATCGAGATCCCACCATTGCACTCCAGCCTGGGCAACAAGAGCAAAATTCCATCTAAAAAAAAAAAGGATAATATTCTCTTAAGTAACTACATTATTATTGTCATGCCTAACAAAAATAGTAAGTCCTTAATATATTCTAATATTAATTCATATCCAGTTTTCTCCAAATATATTTTGAATGATTTGTTCAAATCAGGATCCAAATATGGTCCACATATTACATTTTATTTTTATGCCTGTAAGTCTGTTTTTTTTTTTTTTTTTGGTAACAGCTTTATTGAGGTATAATTTGCATACCACACAATTCACCCATTGAAAGTGTACAATTTAATGGTTTTTAGTGTATTCACAGAATTGTGCAACATCTCTTTTTGTTGTTGTTGTTGTTTTGAGGTAGAGTCTCGCTCTGTTGCCCAGGCTGGAGTGCAATGGTGCAATCTCGGCTCACTGCAACTTCCACCTCCCAGATTCAAATGATTCTCGTGCCTCAGCCTCCCCAGTAGCTGGGATCATAGGCGCGTGCCACCACGCCCAGCTGATTTTTGTGTTTTTAGTAGAGGTGGAGTTTCACCATGTTGGCCAGGCTGATCTCAAACTCCTGACCTCAAGTGATCCACCAGCCTTGGCCTCCCAAAGTGCTGGGATTACAGGCATGAGCTACCTCGCCTGGCCTGAGAATATTCTTATTTTTTAAAAGATGCCTAAAGTATTTAAGAGTGAAATGTCATTATGTCTGGGATTTGCCTTAAAATATAAATTTTCTTTAAACAACAGATGAAACAAGAATGGCCAAAATATTGCAATTAAAACTGTAAAGTCCAAATGACAGGTATATGGACATTCATTATAGTCTTCTCTCTAGGCTTATGTATCTTTGAAATTCTTCAAAATAAAGAATTATGAAAAAATAGCAATTACCCTTTATTTTCAGAATCACGAGCCACCATTACAAATGTTGCATCCAAAACAGGACAAAATTCATCACCATGTAACTAAAGAACAAAGGAAAGAAAATGTACATATGAGAAATAGATTGATCGGGAAGACCTGTCACGACTCTAACAGATAGTATGTATGTGGGCCGGGCGCAGTCGCTCACGCCTATAATCCCAGCACTTTGGGAGGCCAAGGTGGGAGATCCCTTGAGGCCAGGAGTTTGAGACCAGCCTGGTCAATATGGCAAAACCCCGTCTCTACTAAATAATACAGAAATTAGCAGGGTGTGGTGGCACATGCCTCTAATCCCAGCTACTCAGGAGACTGAGGCATGAGAACGGCTTGAACCCAGGAGACCAAGGTTGCAGTGAGCCAAGATTGCAGGCCTCCGTCTCAAAAAAAAAAAAAAAAAGAAAAGAAAAGAAAAAAAAAGAGAGGGAGAGAGAAAGCCTGAAACTGGAAAAAGAGGAGAAGCATGCTCATTAACCATCATCTGCTAAGGGCCTACCCTGAGCCAGGCGCAGCACTAGGCTCTGGGAATGGCAGAATGACAAAGGAGCCTGTGGCCTAGCAGAGGAGAAAAAAACCTCAAAGCCCAAACAGGGGACTGGGCATGGTACCTCACACCTATAATCCCAGCATTTTGAGAGGCCTAGATGGGAAGATCGCCTGAGACCAGGAGTGCAAGACCAACCTAGGCAACATAGCGAGACCTGGTCTCTAACTAAAAATAAAAATTAAAAATTAGCCAGGCATGGTGGTGCATGCCTGTAGTACCAGCTAGTTGGGAAGCTGAGGCAGGAGGATCCCTTGAGCCCAGGAGTTCGAGGATGCACTGAGCTATGATCACGCCCCTGCATTGTAGCCCGGGTGACAGAAAACATCCCATCTGCAAAACAAAACAAACAAAATGCAAACAGTATACTGCGTGAGATGGGCTGCTGGCATGGAGTTTGGAACTGTGCAAGACTGGGACCCAAAGGCAAGGGTCACAGAGGGTATCATAAGCGTTTAATTTGCCTGCTTCCCTCAGAATCTGAGCTTCTTGCAGGGCGTACCTGTCCTCCTGATGGCACACCTACCCAAGCGGACCTCTCATCATGCTCACAAACACTAGTATGTTCCAGGGAACTGCAGTGTGCCAACCACTAGCACATGTTTATGCCTCCGTAGCTGGGCACAGGAGCTCCCAAAAAGAGGTAAAATCAAAGATGATTATGTGGGTTAAGTTAAATGCAGGTAGAGTATCTCTAATCCAAAAATAAAAAATACTCCAAAATCCAAAACTTTTCAAGCACTGACATGACACTCAAAGGAAATGCTCATTGGAGGAGCATTTCAAGATTTTGAACTCTGGGATTAGCAATGCTCGACCAGTAAATACAAATATTCTGAAATCAGAAACACTTCTGGTCCCAGGCATTTCAGATAAGGAATACTCAACCTGTATTTACAATGCACAGGCCTCTGAGGTTTTAAGATGTTTCTTCCCCGCCCCCACCCCATCCCCAGGAAGAGGGTCTCACTCTGTCACCCAGGTTGGAGTACAGTGGCACGATCATGTCTCACTGCAGTCTCAACCTCATGGGCTCAAGTAATCCTCCCGCTTCAGCCTCCTGAGTAGCTGACACTACAGGCGTGCACCACCACACCCAGCTAATTTTTGTAGAGATGGGGTTTTGCCATGTTACCCAGGCTGGTCTTGACCTCCTGAACTCAAGCAATCTGCCAGCCTCAGCCTCCCAAAATGCTGGGATTACAGGCATAAGCCACCATGCCTGGGCCTTAAGATGTTTCTTTATCCCCTAGAAGTCTGTACTTCCAGGAAAGTCATACCATAAAGTAATGAGAGAAGCTATTTATAACCTGAGAGTATATTCGGTTCCCTCCTCAACAAATGATACAAGCCTCATCACTACTACCTACTCAGGCCCTTATCACCTTCCCCCTCAATTGTAGGAACAGTCTCACCAATCTCATTATGCCTTTGCCCTATTCAAACCTTTCAATAGTTCCTCTTTTCTTCCACCAGCACCTGGGCTAATCCTGTTAGCGTGGCATATAAAGCCCTCCACAACAGAGCCCAGGATTCTTCTCCAGTTGTTCACCAAATACTGTGCTCATACCTGCACCTTTTTCTCTAGCCATAGCTAACTAACCAACCGAGAGGTCCTGGGATAGAGCAGGCTATTGACTGCCTCCTGTCTATCTTTACCTGATGCCTTCCTTAGCAGCCTCATTCTTCATGACACTCCTCCCCTCCCCCATCCCTATTCCCCAGATTTTCTTTCCCTCCTTCATTCAGCCCCCTTAATAGAAAGAGTCCTCTCTTGACAGTGGTTCTCAATGTAAGAGAAGTAGATATGACTCTAATAGGGGGCATTTGAAAAATACAGAGTGGTTTTGGTTGTCACATAACTTGGGGGGCATTACTGTGGAGAGGGGTAACCAGGGAGCTAAATCCCTCATAACGCAGGGGACAGGCCTGCAGAACAATGAATGCTTCCACCAGAAATGCCAACAGTGTCCCTGTTGAAAAATAATGCATAACAATATACCATATGATAATCATTTGTTTATGTGGCTGTCTCCCTACTGCACCGTGAGCTCCTGGAGGACAAAGACCATTTTCCTCCAGTTATACCCCTAGTATTTAGCACAAAGACTGGCAGATAGCAGATACCTGATCAGTATTTGCCAATGAATGAAGGAGGCAGGTTCTAGGCACTACTAGAATATCAACTCCAAGAGAATGGAACTTTATCTGTTTTGCTCACTGCTGTATGTCTGGCACAGGACAGGCACTCAATAAATGATTGCTAAATGAATGTGAAATGAATGGATGTCAGGAAGTGAGCTAGGTGACTCAAACCCAGGTCCTATCGTTGAGGAGTAGAGTCCACAGTGGAAGAGAAAAGAATGTTCATGCACAGCTCTGTAGGAGACTAGCAGGTGCCAGGAGAGTGAGTCAGAGAGATGGTATTGAGGAAGGAGGCCTGGGGAAGGAACAGGTGTTACGTGATGGGAGAATAAGGAAAGGGATTGAGCATGAAGTTATCCTGGAGCACAGGGAGAATGTGGATACAAAGCCAGAGCACGAGAATTTCAGGCAAAGGAAAAAGCACCAGCAATGATACTCATTCACTCACTCCCAGCTGAATATCCCTTATCCAAAATGCTTGGGACCAGAAGTGTTCTGTATTTCAAACTATTTTGGAGTTTTGGATTTGGAATGTTTGCCTTCAATACTCACAGGTTGAACATTCCAAACCCAACGAGCATTTCCTTTGGGCATCATGTCAGTGCTCAAAAAGTCAGATTTTGGAGCATTTCAGATTTCAGAGTTGCAATGTTCAACCTATATGTAAATTATGGTTTACTATCATGAACACCCACTAGTGCCAACCACTAGAACGCAAAGATGAATAACTCCCTATTCTTACGATGCTTGAAGGCCAGTGGTGAGCATTAAGAAGGTATATAAATGATAAGTCAAAGGGAATATAGTTGGAAACGTAGGCTGGGACTAGTTTATGAAGCCCCTTGGGTCCTAATTAATCAAAGGAGTTTTGTTTTTTGTTTGAGATGGGGTCTCACTCTGTCACCCAGGTTGGAGTACAGTGGCGCAATCTCAGCTCACTGCAACCTCCACCTCCCAGCCTCAAGTGATCCTCCCACCTTAGCCTCCCAAGTGGCTGGGATCACAGGCGCACGCCACCACACCGGCTAATTTTTTGTACTTTTTTTTTTTTTTTTTTTTTTTTGAGATGGAGTCTCACTCTGTCGCTGAGGCTGGAAGGCAGTGGCACGATCTCGGCTCACTGAAACCTCCGCCTCCCAGATTCAAGCGATTCTTCTGCCTCAGCCTCCCCAGTAACTGGGACTACAGGCACGTGCCACCACCCCCAGCTGATTTTTGTATTTTTAATAGAGATGGGGTTTCACCATATTGGCTAGGCTGGTCTCAAACTCTTGACCTCATGATTCGCCTGCCTTGGTCTCCCAAAGTGTTGGAATTACAGGCATGAGCCACCATGCCCAGGCAATTTTTTGTACTTTTTGTAGAGACAGGATTTCACCATGTTGCTCAGGCTGGTCTTGAACTCCTGAACTCAAGAGATCCACCTGCCTCGGCCTCCCAAAGTCCTGGGATTGGAGCCGTAAGCCACTGTGCCTGGGCCAGTCAAAGGGGTTTAGACTTTAATCCACAGATAATGAACGGTCACTGAAGGTTTCTGAGAAGGGAAGTGACCTGATTCAAGATCAGCTTTGGAAGACTTATGCGGTAAAAATGCATGAAATTAACAGAGAGCGGTCAGGCTAGAGAAAGTCAGGTTAATTAAAAGACCGTTAAGGCACTCACACAAGAGGCAGTGAGGACTTGAATAAAACACAGGGCCAAAAGGATGTGGGGAGAAAGAATTCTGGTGAGTTGCTGTGGGTGATGAATTTGCAAGACCTGGCAAAAGGCTGCATGGGAAAGGGAAAAATTAAAGCTGTCACAAAGGTCTGGAGCTGGAGGAAACAGGAGGCTGGCAAAGGGGAGACTGGAGGAGGATGAGAATTGGAGCCATTCAGTTTGGAACGTACTGTTTATTGGAACTTGAGGTAGCAACAGCACGTCTAGGTGAAGAAATTAAGGAGCACTCAGAAAAGTGGGTATGAAGGTCAAGCCCAAAATAGAAATTTGAGGCCACCTCAACAGTATTTATAATAAATTAATATTATTGCCAGGCTGGGGGCGGTGGCCCATGCCTGTAATCCCAGCACTTTGGGAGGCCGAGGCAGGCAGATCACTTGAGGTCAGGAGTTCGAGACCAGCCTGGCCAACATGGTGAAACCCCGTCTCTATAAAAAATACAAAAACTAGCCAGGCATGGTGGTGTGCACTTGTAAGCCCAGCTACTAGGGAGGCTGAGACAGAAGAATCGCTTGAACCTGGGAGGCAGAGGCTGCAGTGAGCTGAGATCGTGCCACTGCACTCCAGCCTGGGTGACAGAACGAGACCCTGTCTCAAAAAAAAAAAAAAAAAAAAATTCCAACAGTGGTTACTGTGTAATCGGCACCGTAGCAAGTACTTCACATGAATGGGTTTTTTGCAATTTCCCTTTCCACAACCATGTAACGTGGTGCTCTGTTACTAGTTTCATGTTACATTGGAGAACACAGAGGCTCAGAGAGGTGGTTTCCCCACAGCCACATGACTAGGAAGAAGCAGCGCTGGGATTAGAACTTAAATCTATGCAAACCAGAGGTAGAGTGCTTATCCCCACATCACTTCTCTGCAATAAAAAAGATCACTCGAGTCATAAGTGATTAGTCAAACAGCCAGTGAAGAATGCAAATTTAAAACAAAAGTGTTTGTCTGACACCGATTTCCACTGGTTCTCTCTCAATAATTCCTATATCACTTTTTCAAACTATTTGTCCAAGATTCAAATTGTCAAGGTTCCCTAAAAGGCAGGTCCTGTGCCAGGAATCTGCTGTGCATGGCACGGCACTGAGCAGACTAGGAATTAACCAAGAATTTTTTTTTTTTTTTTTTTTTTTTTTTTTTTTTGAGACAGAGTCTCGCTCTGTCGCCCAGGCTGGAGTGCAGTGGCGCGATCTCAGCTCACTGCAAGCTCCGCCTCCCAGGTTCACGCCATCCTCCTGCCTCAGCCTCCCGAGTAGCTGGGACTACAGGCGCCCGCCACCACACCCCAGCTAACTTTTTTGTATTTTTAGTAGAGACAGGGTTTCACCATGTTAGCCAGGATGGTCTCGATCTCCTGACCTCGTGGTCCACCCACCTCGGCCTCCCAAAGTACTGGGATTACAGGCATGAGCCACCCTGCCTGGCCAGTCATTCTTAAATAAGTTTTCCACAACGAAATCTTGGACATACACTAAATCATTTTATTTCTGTGTTGTTATCCTCTTTGAGGTACTTTTTCTTGCCAAATTTCTTCATTTGTTTGTAATAGCTATTCTGAGTTTTACTCATCAGATGAGCTGTTCCTAACTACTGTAATAGCTCAAATGACTGTTAAGGGTCCAATTGTGTTCCCCAAAAAGACACGTGGAAATGCTAACCCCCGTAACTGTGAATGTGACTGTATTTGGAAATAGGGTCATTGCAGACATAATTAGGTAAAATGAGGTCATGCTGGAGTAGGGTGGGCCCTTAACCCAGTATGATTAGCGGCATCCTGACAAGAGACACCAGAGAGATAGACACACGAGAGAACACCATGTGATGGCGGAGGCAGAGACTGAATGAAGTGCTACAGCTGGAAGTGAAGGAACACCAGGGATCGCCAGCAAACCACCAGAAGCAAGAAACAGACAAGGAAGGTTTCTCTCTTACAGGTTTTAGAGAGAGCATGACTCTGCTGACATCCTGATTTTGGATTAGTAGCCTCCAAACTGTGAGTCAATAAATTTTCTGGTTTTATGCCACCAGTTTATGGTACTTTGTGGTACCGCTGCCCCTTGGAATCCACACAGGATTGGTTCCAGAACTCCCCACCACCACCCGCCAATACCAAAATCCACAGATGCTCAACTCCCCTATATAAGATGGTGTCGTATTTACATAAGACCTATGCACCTCCTCCTGTATACTTTAAATCATCTCTGGATTACTTACAATACCTAATACAATATAAATGCCATATAGATAGCTGTTTGAAGGCCAGCCATGGTGGCTCATGCCTGTAATCCCAGCACTTTGGGAGGCTAAGGTGGGAGGATCACATGAGGCTGGAAGTTCAAGACCAGCCTGGGCAACATGGCGAAACTCCATCTCTATTTCTCTATTTTTAATTTTTTTTCTTTTTTTGAGATGAGTCTCACTCTGTCACCCAGGCTGGAGTGCAGTGGCGTAATCTCGGCTCACTACAACCTCCACCTCCTGGGTTCAAGCGGTTCTCGTCCCTCAGCCTCCTAAGTAGCTGGGATTACAGGCGTGCACCAACATGCCTGGCTGATTTTTGTATTTTTAAAATAGAGACAGGGTTTCACCATGTTGGCCAGGCTGGTCTCAAACTCCTGGCCTCAAGTGATCTGCCCACCTCAGCCTCCCAAAGTGGTGGGATTACAGGCGTGAGCCACTGCACCCAGCCCCATCTCTATTTTTTTTAAAAAAACGGTTGTTATACTGTATTGTGTTTTATTTATATTATTTTTCATTGTTTTTTTCCAAACATTTTCAATCCATGGTTGGTTGAATCTGTGGACGTGAAACCTACAGACACAGAGGGCCAACTGTACAGCAATCCTGGGAAATGAATACAGTAATCAATTCCATTCACTCCTACCATAACAACTTCTGTGAAATTCTCCTGGGCAGAACCAGAAATAAACACCTTAACGTGGAGCTGTATATGATTAGAAAGTAATAAATATTAAACATAAACACCAAATAGTATTTCAAGCTTTGTCCACAAGGAGGATATTAATAACCCACCATCCGTATGACATGAGCTTTCAACTGTTTTTCTAGAAGCAGTAAGCGACATACCTGTACATAGGTGAATAAGCTTTTCCTGCATGGAGACTAGCTGGTTTTATGTAAACAGTGGACAATCTTCAGGCGCATATTTACCTGGAACATTTGCATCTTCACTTCCATGGATGTCTTCCCGACCCAGCTAACATGGCCACTGAACTTAATGTCCTGTTCTGGGCTCAAGCTCTTCTTACACATATCTGCAAAACAGAAGTTAATCGGGGTCCAAATCATACCAAAAATGTTCTGTTCTGTAAATATGCACAATTAGAAATTATGGCTAATTCCATTACATTTCTTTTTTGTCTTCAAAACTAAAATAACTTTTTTGACACGCAGAAGAAATCTACATGTGTTTTTGAAAAACGTAGAAAAAGCAAAGAATATAAAAAACTGGAATCATGCAAAATCCACCTAATTATAACAAATATCTTGGTATATAGCATTCTAGACATTTTCATATGCATATGTACATTAAAATTCCCCATAAAGGGCCGGGTGCGGTGGCTCATGCCTGTAACCCCAGCACTTTGGGAGGCCAAGGCAGGTGGATCACCTGAGGTCAGGAGTTTGAGACCAGCCTGGCCGACATGGTGTAATCCCGTCTCTACAAAAAATACAAAAATCAGCTGGGCGAGGTGGCACACGCCTGTAATCCCAGCTACTTGGGAGGCTGAGGCAGGAGGATTGCTTGAACCTGGGAGGCGAAGGTTGCAGTGAGCCGAGATCGTGCCAGTGCACTCCAGCCTAGGTGACAAGAACAAAACTCCATCTCAAAAAGAAAAAAAAAAATTCCCATAAAAGGAGAGGACTTCCTGTAATCTCAATAATATCCTGCAATTACTAAGAATTCTAAGTATGCATAGGAAATGATATCACTTACCAATCTTATCCACCAGGGCTGTAACTATCGATAAAGGAGACATCTTGGCTGAATGGATTTTGTTGTGCATGTAACAAGTAAGAACTGCAGGAAAACAGGAGTGTACCAAATTTTTAAAAGGCAGAATTATTTCCCAACAGTTCCAATTTACTCCCTGGAATCCATTAAAAGTCTTGTCTCCTTTTGAAGACCCAGCCCCCAATATTCCATGGATCATCTTATCCTAGGACCAAACACTTTTATAAATTGAAGGATTTGGGAGATCCTCCAATCTGACTGCCCCCTCAATTTTAAGATTTGGTGAAGAAATCAAAGCCCGAAGCAAGCCCAGACCCACCAGGCAGCTTGTTACTACTCCACAGAGACTCAGTGCCAAAATCAGAATAGGAACTCAGCACATGAGTCTGACAGTATCAAACATCTTCAGGAAACAGAAACAAATCACAAGGACTTGGCTACCTGTTTTCTCCCTGGCTCTGTCCTAATTAATCATGAAACAATTATTTCACTCAGTTATCCCTCCTTCCCCATAACACCCTTGGCTCCTATGCCACCCTGTGGTTATCTCTATACTTTCCATATTTTAACAAGCATTTATATGTGCCAAGCATGGTTCATGCACCTTACAGATATCAACTCATTTAAAGTTGTATAATTATATGTTGGGCCGGGCGCGGTGGCTCAGCCTGTAATCCCAGCACTTTGGGAGGCGGAGGCAGGTGGATCACGAGGTCAAGAGATTGAGACCATCCTGGCCAACGTGATGAAACCCTGTCTCTACTAAAAATACAAAAATTAGCCGGGCGTGGTGGCGTCCCAGTTACTCAGGAGGCTGAGGCAGGAGAATCACTTGAACCCAGGAGGCAGAGGTTGCAGTGAGCCGAGATTGCACCACTGCACTCCAGCCTGGCAACAGAGTGAGACTGTCTCAAAATTTAAAAAAAAAAAAAAATTGTATAATTATATGTTGATTGGCTCCCTGCTTCCCCTATGATCCATTCAAATTTGCATCACAAACTCTCAGGACAAGATATGTGGCTCAATAGTATTTGTTGAGTAACTGTAAATCCTTCCATCTATGCACCTACTAAAGGACGCACTGGGGGAATGACAGGCTAAAGGCAATAAATTCCATTTAAAAGTCTTTGTCCAGCAAAGAAATCAGATGGCTCCAACCTATGACAACATGAGTAGAAATGAAGACTATGAGTTAAGAAGAAGGTAAACCTGACAAGACTTGAATAAATTCAGTTTTCTAGCTTGGATAGGTAAGCATGGTGTACTAGTCACTGAAAAAGAGAACACAGACTGGGTACAGTGGCTCATGCCTGTAATCCCAACACTCTGAGAGGCCAAGGCAGGAGGATCACTTGAGCCTAGGAGTTCAAGACCAGCCCAGGCAACACAGCAGAGACTCCATCTCTACCAAGAACACAAAAGTTAGACAGGTGTGGTGGCACATGCCTGTAGTCCCAACTACTCAGGAGACAGGTGAGAGGATTGCCTGAGCCCAGAAGGTCAAGGCTGTAGTTAGCCATGATCATGCTGCTACACTCCAGCCTGAACAAAAGAGTAAGGCTCTGTCTCAAAATAAAAAGAGAATATAGGAAGAAAAGAATGGGCCATTTTCAATGTGTTGAATTTGAAGAGCCTATGGCACATCCAAATGAAGGTATTGGGCAGGGCACAGTTGTTCACACCTGTAATCCTAGGGCTTTGGAAGGCCATAGCAGAAGGATCATGTGAGCCCAGAGTTTGAGACCAGCCTGGGCAACAGAGTGAGACCCCTGTCTCTACAAAAAACTTTACAAATTAAGCCAGGCATGGTGGCTCAAGCCTGTAATCCCAGCACTTTGGAAGACAGAGGTAGATGGACCACCTGAGCCCAGAAGTTCCAGACCAGCCCAGGCAACATGGTGAGATCCCGTCTCTACAGTAAAATACAAAAATTAGCCAGGCATGGTGGCATGTGCCTGTGGTCCCAGCTACTTGAGAGGCTGAGATGGGAGGATGCTTGAGCCTGAGATGTGGAGGATACAGTGAGCTGTGATTGTACCATTGGACTCCATCCTGGGTGACAGAGTGAGACCCTATTCCAAAACAAAACAAAACAAATTAGCCAGGCATGGTGCAGTGTGCCTATAGTCCCAGTTACTCAGGAGGCTGAGGCAGAAGGAACACTTGAGCCTACAAGTTCAAGGTTGCAGTAGGCTATGATTTTACCACTGCACTACAGTCTGGGCAACAGAGCGAGACTGTCTCTAAAAAAGAAAAATAAATCTAGTAGCTAAGAGGAAAAACTGATTGAAACTCAGAAAAACAGGCCAGAAAATGTAGCTTCGTAAGTATTCAGCACACTGATAGCAACTGAAACACTGGGAGTAGATGGGTTTATAGAGAATCTACAATGTCAACCCAAAAAAGGGCAGAAGGGAAGGGTAGAGAAGAGACGGAGGAAAACGTAATATAAATGTAGTTTTTACCACTGATCGATACACTTAAAAATGATAAAGATGGGCCAGGTGCGGTGGCTCACACCTGTAATCCCAGCACTTTGGGAGGCCGAGGTGGGGGGATCACCTGAGGTCACGAGTTTGAGACCAGCCTGGCCAACATGGCAAAACCCCATCTCTACTAAAAATACAAAAATTAGCCAGGCGTTGTGGCAGATGCCTGTAAGCCCAGCTACTTGGAAGGCTGAGGCAGCAGAATTGCTTGAACTCGAGAGGCGGAGGTTGCAGTGAGCCGAGATGGTGCCACTGCACTCCAGCCTGGGGGGTGACAGAGCAAGACTCTGTCTCAAAAAAATAAAATAAAAAATAAAAAATAAAGATGGTAAATTTTATATTTTAACCTCAACTTAAAAAATAGTGCTGGGCTCAGTGGCTCACGCCTGTAATCCCAACACTTTGGGAGGCCAAAGTGGGAATATCCCTTGAGTCCAGGAGTTTGGGACCAGCCTGGGCAACATGGCAGACCTTGTCTCTACTAAAAATCAAAAAAATTAGCCGGGCATGGTGGTGTGCACCCGTAGTCCCAGCCACTCAGGAGGCTAAGGCAGGAGGACTGCTTGAGCCAGGAGGTTGAAGCTACAGTGAGCTGTGATCATGCCACTGCACTCCAGTCTGGGTGACAGAGTGAAACTCTGTCTCAAAAACTACATAAATAACTTTAAAAGATTTAACTATTTTCATTGTTAAATTTTAAAATGCCTTAAAATTTAATTAATATGAACAAATTATAAAATTCAAAAGGCCGGGCGCGGTGGCTCATGCCTGTAATCCCAGCACTTTGGGAGGCCAAGGCAAGTGGATCACCTGAGGTCAGGAGTTCGAGACCAGCCTGACCAACATGGTGAAACCCCGTCTCTACTAAAGATACAAAAAATCAGCCGGGCGTGGTGGTGGGTGCCTGTAATCCCAGTTACTTGGGAGGCTGAGGCAGGAGAATCACTTGAACCTGGGAGGTGGAGGATGCAGTGAGCTGAGATTGCGCCACTGCACTCCAGCCTGGGCAACAAGAGCGAAACTCTGGCTCAAAAAAAAATAAACAAAATAAAATAAAATGAATTCAAAAAATAACCACTTTTTGAAAGAGCAGAAGGCAAAACCCTGGGGATAACTTACATTTAAGGGATCAACAGAAAAAGAGGAACCTACAAAGGGGACTACAAAAGAGCAGCCAGAGAAGCAGAAGGAAATGTCACCAAAGCCCAAGGGTGGGCTGGACGATATAAGAAGCCACAAAGGGGTCAGGTCAACCCTGAAAAGCATCCATTCAATTGTGCAGTAAAGGAGCCAATGGCGAGCTTGGCAAGAGCAGTTTCAATGGCGTGGAGGAGCAGAAGCCGGAACACAGCAGACCGGCAAATATTTAATAACAGGAAGTTAGCATACAGAGGCAATGAGAGCAGGTGATTTTCCCAGTTCTTTTCAGAAAGTGAGCTATGAAGTAAGGAAGAAAGTGTGAGGTGTTATAAGAAAAGAGGATTTTTTACTTATCTTTTTTTTTTTTTTTTTGAGACAGAGTCTCACTCTGTCACCCAGGCTGGAGTGCAGTGGTGCACTCAGTTCACTGCAGCCTCTACCTCCCGGGTTCAAGCCATTCTCCTGCCTCAACCTCCTGAGTAGCTGGGACTACAGGCACACGCCACTATACCCGGCTAATTTTTGTGTTTTTGAGACAGAGTCTCGCTCTGTTGTCCAGGCTGAAGTACAGTGGCACAATCTCAGCTCACTGCAACCTCCACGTCCCAGGTTCAAGCAGTTCTCGTGCCTCAGCCTCCCGAGTAGCTGGGATTACAGGCACGCGCCACCATGCCCGGCTACTTTTTGTAGTTTTAGTAGAGATGTGGTTTCACCATGTTGGCCAGGCTGGTCTCGAACTCCTGGCCTCAAGTGATCCACCCGCCTCGGCCTCCCAAAGTGCTGGGATTACAGGCGTGAGTCACCCTGACCGGTCTATTTTTCATTTTAAGATGGAAGAAGCTTGAATATGTTTATAACTTGAGGGAAAAGTGAAGTTGAGAAAAGGCTCAGGAAATGATGGAGAAAGCTAAGTGATAAGGCAGTTCCTTGAAGAAATAGAAGGAATAGAATCAAGTGAACAGGTTAAAGAGACTGGCCAGGCCGGGTGCAGTGGCTCACGCCTGCAATTCCAGCACTTTGGAAGGCCAAGGCAGGCAGATCACGAGGGTCAGGAGATCGAGACCATGGTGAAACCCCGTCTCTACTAAAAATACAAAAAACTAGCCGGGCGAGGTGGCGGGCGCCTGTAGTCCCAGCTACTCAGGAGGCTGAGGCAGGAGAATGGCGTGAACCCGGGAGGCAGAGCTTGCAGTGAGCCGCGATCGCGCCACTGCACTCCAGCCTGGGGGACAGAGTGAGACTCTGTCTCAAAAAAAAAAAAAAAAAAAAAAAAAAGAGACTGGCCATCAATAGCAGTTAATGAGCAAGAAAGAGGGTAGTGGTGGCAGGGGAGTTTGTGTATATACGGACACCTAAGCAAACCAAAGTCAACCAGGATGTAGTGCAGTGGTGTCACCACAGCTCACTGCAGCCTCGACTTCCTGGGCTGAAGCAACCCTCCCGCCTCAGTCTCCTGAGTAGCTGGAACTACTAGTGCATGCCACCACACCCAGCTACTTTTTTGGTTTTTGTAGAGATGGGGACTCACTGTTTCCCAGGCTGGTCTCAAAGTCTTGGCCTCAAGCGATCCTCCTGCCTCGATCTCCCAAAGTGCAAGGATTATAGGTGTGAGCCACTGTGCCCAGCCATGAATTTTTAACTGGGTTCATTTAATCTAGAGAAAAGTAGTTGCTAGGTGTAAGCTTAACAACAAGCTTATATCTATATTTTAAAAGTCAGAGCCGGGCGTGGCGGCTCACAGCTGCAACCCCAGCACTTTGGGAGGCTGAGGCGTGCAGATCACCTGAGGTCAGGAGTTCGAGACCAGACTGGCCAACATGATGAAACCCCATCTCTATTAAAAATACAAAAATTAGCCAGATGTGATGGTGGGCACCTGTAATCCCACCTATTCAGGAGGCTGAGGCAGGAGAATCGCCTGAACCCAGGAGGTGGAGGTTGCAGTGAGCCAAGATCGGACCACTGCACTCCAGGCTGGGCAACAAGAGTGAGACTCTGTCTCAAAAAAAAAAGAAAAAGAAAAAAAAAGGCCAGGCATGGCAGCTCACACCTGTAATCCCAGAACTTTGGGAGGCTGAGGAAAGAGGATCCTTTGAACCCAGGAGTTCAAGAAAAACCTGGGCAACACAGGAAGACCCCATCTCTATTAAAAAAAATAGTTTAATAGTTTTTTAAAAATATATTAGAACCTTTCTTCGGACCCTTTCCCAACCATTCAGCCCAAATATCATTAGGTGGGAGCAAGTAAGGTAGCCTAGAGTAGGGGGCTGGCATCTGAGCAGGGTGAGGAGGACATCCTTGCAGAGGGGCTGCAAGAGTGATGGCAGAGCGTGTCACAGCTTGAGCACAGTGAAGAGGGTGAGCCTGCAGAGGGGGACCTGGTGTGGGGTACCAGAGCCCAGGTGAGGTGAGGGGAGCATCCGTGATGCATGAGGGGTGGCAGCCATAGGAAACTGGTCACATACAGGGGAACTGATAAAATAAGTCAATATATGAAGGAGAATGGAGCCAGTTGGAGAAGGGAATACAAATATGGAAAGGAAGGAAATGAGAATGAACCCCGTGGTGGCTGAACTGGAATTGGAGCTATCAGTGCAATCCCATGGTTTTCGTACATACATCTGTACAAAGATTTAGAAATAACATATATGTATGTATATGCACATGTATTTCCCAGCTCCTCTGCTAAGAGGGTATGGGAGCAGTGATATCCAGGAGCAATGACCACTCCCAACGCACGTATCTCCATTTCGAAATATCATCCTCCATTTCAAAATATCATTCTCCATTTCAAAATATCATCCTCCACTTCAAAATATCATTCTGCATTTCAAAATATCATCCTCCACTTCAAAATATCATTCTCCATTTCAAAAAAGGGCTCCTTGGAGATGTGGGTGATTCTAGGACTGGGGCAAAGTACAAGATGGGCCTAGAATATCTTATTGTGCCAGAAAGTGAGAAAGGGCTCAAAGAATAATGGGGACGCATCAAAGAAAACCACACAGAAGCTAGCCTGAAGGGACTGGGACACTCCTGGGACCATTTGAGCATCAAATAGATGATAGTAACATATTATAGTCCATTCAATAACATAGGAATTCCTGAGTCCATACTGATTTAAAACTAATGAATTGAAAGTCTGATGAAGGTCTCAAAGTTACCTGCCCCCTCTCCTACATGAGGTACTTATTAATTACGAAGGGGAAAAGAGTAACTTTACAGTGAAGAAGAGTGGCAGACGTCATCGCCATCCAGTAAGCAAAGCTGATATCATCAGTAACGAGAAATCAAAACCATGTACCACTTGATAGGATGCAATAAGAACAGAGAATCCCTTCTGTGACATTCCTGCCAGAGATGCATATCCCAAAGCTAATCATGAGGAAGCATCACACAGACCCAAATTGAGGGACAATACACAAAAGAACCATGTCAAAGTCACGAAAGTCAAAGAAAGATTAAGGAACTAGTCCTGACATGACAATTAAATCAACATATGATTCAGAACTGGATCCTTCTGCTATGAAGGACCACTGGCAAAAGTTGAATGGGACCTGAGGATTAGACAGTATGACACATCAGTGTTAATTTCCTGATTTTTTATGACTGTTTGTAGTTATGTAGAAGAATGTCCTTGTTTGTAGGAAAGACATATTCAAATATTTGGGGGTGATGTGGCATCATGTCAGTGACTTATTCTCACATAATTCAGGGACAAATAATTTTTTTTTTTTTTTTTTGAGACAGAGTCTCACTCTGTCGCCCAGGCTACAGTGCAGTGGCGTGATCTCAGCTCACTGCAACCTCCACCTCCCAGGTTCAAGTGACTCTCCCGCCTCAGCCTCCCGAGTAGCTGGGACTACAGGCACATGCCACCACGCCTGGCTAATTTTTTGTATTTTTAGTACAGACAGGTTTCACCATGTTAGCCAGGATGGTCTCAATCTCCTGACCTCGTGATCTGCCCACCTCAGCCTCCCAAAGTGCTGGAATTACAGGCATGAGCCACCGTGCCTGGCCACAGAAAAACTCTTTATACTGTATTTGCAACTTTTCTGTAAGTTTAAGACTTTTTTTTAAGTTACTAGTAAGAAAGATTATTCAGACTATACCTCCATTAAATAGGAATCTACATTTATTTTGGAGACGGAGTTTCACTCTTGTTACCCAGGCTGGAGTGCAATGGCACGATCTTGGCTCATCACAACCTCTGCCTCCCAGGTTCAAGTGATTCTCTTGCCTCAGCCTCCCAAGTAGCTGGGATTATGGCGCCCGCCACCACAACTGGCTAATTTTGTATTTTTAGTAGAGATGGGGTTTATCCATGTTGGTCAGACTGATCTTGAACTCCCAACCTCAAGTGATCCGCCTGCCTCAGCCTCCCAAAGTACTGGGATTACAGGCATGAACCACCACACCTGGCCGATGTCCTTCTTTTTTTGTGCACTTTAGAATATCACCATCTGTGCAGGTTAAAGAATAAAAGAGCCCTTTCCAGTCACAGAATTCAATGTATATCTGTAGGTATCTATTAGAAAGACTAAAATAATACCAGTACCTCCCAAGCTGTCAAGATCCTCAAGAATCCTGCCAAATCTGTGAAATAAAGCAAACGGTGAATTAAATGCAAATCATGTTGGTCTCCTTTTAAAAATAAATAACACACTTCAGGGTGATGAAAATGTTCCAAAATCGATTATAGTGATGGATGCACAACTCTCTAAATGTATCAAAACCATAGAATTGTACACTTTAAATAAGTGAATTGTATGGTGTGTGAACTGTATTTCAACATTGTTATAAAACACGGAAATAAAAACAAATACATAAAAATAGCACTGTGTTACCTTACGGTGTTTTGAACAGTCAAATATTTCTCTCGTAATTCAGGCTCACTGCCCAAAGGCAAGAGAACTTCAATGTAACTGTCCTTCATTCTCCTAGGAGGCAGTTCATCCTGTGATTTAGCCAAGAAACTATGAAGTAACTTCCTTTCTTCCATTGCCTTCACATGGTCTCTGAGAGGAAAGGATGCAGGATTCATAAAACAAGAGCAGTGCTAGCCCACAATTCCAGTGGTATACAGGTCAGTAAGATACCATCAAAGGAGGAAAAAGAAGGTCTGGGCCTACTTTCACCTTCTCTTCCTTTCCTCCCTTACCACCCACCACTTGGTGAAATTGATCATTTCCGGTATCATTTCTCAAGCTTAAAAACATACTTAGGCCGGGCATGGTGGCTCACACCTGTAATCCCAGCACTTTGGGAGGCCAAGGCGGGCAGATCACGAGGTCAGGAGATCGAGACCATCCTGGCTAACACGGTGAAACCCTGTCTCTACTAAAAAATACCAAAAAATTAGCTGGGCGTGGTGGCGGGCGCCTGTAGTCCCGGCTACTCGGGAGGCTGAGGCAGGAGAATGGCGTGAACCCGGGAGTTGGAGCTTGCAGTGAGCCGAGACTGCGCCACTGCACTCCAGCCTGGGTGACAGAGCAAGACTCTGTCTCAAAAAAAAAAAAAGAAAGAAAAACATACTTAAGGCCAGGTGCGGTGGCTCATGCCTGTAATCCCAGCACTTTGGGAGGCCGAGAGAGGTGGATCACCTGAGGTCAGGGGTTCGAGACCAGCCCGGCCAACATGGCAAAACTCCATCTCTACTAAAAATACAAAAAATTAGCCAGGCGTGGTGGTGGGCACCTGTAATCCCAGCTACTTGGGAGGCTGAGGCAGGAGAATTGCTTGAACGTGGGAGGCACAGGTTGCAGTGAGCCAAGATCACAACACTGCACTCCAGCCTGGGCAACAGAGCAAGACGGTCTCAAAAAAAAAAAACAAAAACAAACAAACAAAAAAAAACAAAAAACAAAACTTAAAAGTGATATAGATATACCCAAATGAGCCATATATTCACCCTTATCAAAAAGTTTACTCAAAGACTAGAATATTTGAAATTAAATTAAAAATTCAGAGAGATGGACACAATAGTATATATATAAATATATACGCTAAAGAATGGGTTGGCCACTCTACTTTATATTCCCATTTCTCACCTGACAGTTCTCGGATTCTTTGAGCCCCAGTTCTCTCTCTCTCTCTGCCTTCAATTTCAGGAAAGAGAGACAGAGGAGGGAAAATGGACTATATCCAAAGGAAGTATGGAAGGCAGAACAAAAGGTAAAGAAGAACAGAACATGAAAAGGGACAGAAAGGGAAGAAAAAGAAGAGAAGATTAAGGTGGAAGAGAAAAGAGAGACAAGGGGATACGGAACGACAATGTTGATAAGAACATTAGCTAAGATGTCTTTCTAAGCTTAACTTATAAAGTATTATTTCCAGAAATGTTTACCCTTCAAAAAATACAGGAGATAGAGGAATGAGTTAAATAACACCAGTAAATCCAGAATGTGGAACATTCTCAAGACAAATGGCTTGGCCTCCTTAAAGTCAAGCTCATGGGGGAAGAATGGGGGAAGGATGACTGTCTATTACCCTAGATTAGGGGAGACTAAAGAGTCATAACCACCAGATGCAATATGCAATCCTTTATTGGATCTTGATGTTTTTTAAACAGCTATAAAAACATTTTTGTTAAAAGGAGTAATCTATTTTTTAAAAAATGGTAACAGTTAAGGAAATGTGACTATGGATGAGTAATATACTAGCAAGGAATTGCTGTCAATTTGATTACATGAGAGAATGTCTTATTTGCTGGAGATAAGCAAAGGCTGGTTTATAAAATATTTACCGGAGATACACGCTGAAGTGTTGTATCTATAATTTATTTAGAAATGCTTCAGCATATGTGTATATTGGGAAATTTGGCAAAATATTAATAAGTATCAAATCCAGGTGGTGGGTACACAGGTATTCATTCTTTCTACCTTTTAGTAAATTGAAATTTTTCATACAAAGAATTTAAAAATAAGTCATTAATTTCTATACCAACGATAGATTATTATATATCTAGTGATCACTCGTGTTTTTTCTATCTCATTGTAGCCTCAAAATTCTGTAAACCAAGAGGGATATGATCCTATTTTACAACAAGGAAATATTGTGAGAAAGATAAAGACAATATGGGAGGCCTAATTTTGAACTGACAAGAAGCAATAAAGGATTCAAGTTGCATGAAACAGAGAAACTAAGAGACTTGGGTTCAAGTCCCAAACCCTGATATTTAATCATTCAATCTCTGAGTTTCAGTTTTGTGTGTAAAAAAGGAACAGGAACATATGTCATAAGCATGTCACAAGTTTTGTTATGAGAATCAGTGAGGTAATATACCTAAATGCACTTTGAAAATGCAGAATATACGTAAATCACCTTCTTTCATGACAATGAGGTGTCATCTGATGAGCATGTTGAAATGTTGACCTTCTCCCCCAAGCAAAATACTTCTCAACCTATCTCTGAACACAGGGCTCCCCATCCCCACTGCGAGACCATCAACTGAGCCTACATACAGCCTAGTATAATACGTTGGGGATGAAAAGAACGAATGAAAACAAAGATGCATACCTCCAGTTTGTGGATGCTCCTACTATCTCCCGCAACTTATCTCGAACTGAAACAAAAATAAAGAGGACATTCCATGAAACAAAGAAATATGAGAAACGGATTATGGCAATGAGCTCAAGAACTATGAAAAGCAATTCATGCACTCAAAAGATTTAAAGATCCATAGATTTCCATTTAATGCCACAACAAACAGCTCAGGGACAGGATCAAGCCTCTGCTCCCTAAAAACCTGAAAGAACTATACTGTCTCTTTAGTGCACAAATGAATACCTTTATGCCAATCACAGGGTTTATATAAACAAACAGAAAAGGATAACTTCAACTATTCATTTAATGGGGCTGTATCAGTGTTAGCCAATAAGAACCATTATGATGGAGATATGAACAGGATTCCCACCTATCTTCTTTTTTGTTTTTTTTTTTGTTTTTTTTTTGAGACAGAGTCTCGCTCTGTCACTCAGGCTGGAGTTCAGTGGCACAATCTTGGCTCACTGCAACCTCCACCTCCCGGGTTCAGGCGGTTCTCCTGCCTCAGTCACCCCAGTAGCTGGGATTACAGGTGCTGTGCCACCACACCCGGCTAATTTTTGTAGTTTTGTTTTGTTTGAGACGGAGTTTCACTCTTGTTGCCCAGCCTGGAGTGCAATAGCATGATCTCAGCTCACTGCAACCTCTGCCTCGTGGGTTCAAGTGATTCTCCTGCCTCAGCCTCCCAATTAGCTGGGATTATAGGCAGACACCACCATGCCCAGCTAATTTTGTATTTTTAGTAGAGACGGCGTTTCACTATGTTGGTCAGGCTGGTCTTGAACTCCTGACTTCAGGTGATCCACCTGCCTCGGCCTCCCAAAGTGCTGGGATTACAGGTGTGAGCCACCGTGCCTGGCCCCCATCTATCTTCTTATACGCAGTATTAGATCAAATTACTTAGTTCAGAGACTAATACTAATATCCAAATCTGAGTCTCATTATAATTAATTTCTCATATATTTATAGTCTTCTAGTTGTTAGAAAAGTTTAAGCCAGAAAAATGAAGCAAAGACTTACATCAAGCTAAGGCAAAGAATGCAATTTTAGTTAATGCCACTGCCCAAAAGTGCAAGCATATATTAGTGCTTACAAAATTTAAGCTCTTAAAAGAAAAGCTGATACTAATTACCACACACACCATGATTCACATGTATAGGTGAACATGCTATATGAATAAAGGGAAAATCAATTAGAGAACCAGCAATAATTGGAAACTAAAAGATAAATCTATAGTATTTCAAATACTGTGTTGAGTTCATGTGTTTTTCCTAGCACTTCAAAATACATATTCCAGTTATAGGAAATTAACTATAGCAATCCTCAGTCCTTCAATAACTAAGTGATCAAAACCAAATATGATTAATATTAACATGCATTTTAACTTTCATGAAAAAATGGTTTTCTATCAAACAATTATGGATACACCATAAGTTTGGTGTATAATTACAATTAAATGTTACAGAACTGCAAACAACAACCATTAGTAATTTAGTCTTATTTCTGATTTTTTCCTCCTAAGTGCCTTGAATAAAAGAATGGACAGGGCCGAAGCGTGTGAATCATGAGGTCAGGAGTTCAAGACCAGCCTGGCCAAGATGGTGAAACCCCGACTCTACTAAAAATACAAAAATTAGCCTGGCGTGGTGGGCACCTGTAATCCCACCTACTCGGGAGGCTAAGGCAGAGAACTGCTTGAACCTGGGAGGCGGAGGCTGCAGTGAGCCAAGATCACGCCACTGCACTCCAGCCTGGGCGACAGAGTGAGACTTCATCTCAAAAAAAAAAAAAAAAAAGAACAGGCCAGGCACGGTGGCTCACATCTGATATCCCAGCACTTTGGGAGGCCAATACAGGCGGATCACTTGAGGCCAGGAGTTTGAGACCAGCCTGGCCAACATGGCGAAACTCCGTCTCTCCTAAAAAATACAAAAATTAGTTGGGCGTGGTGTAGCATGCCTGTAATCCCAGCTACTCGGGAGGCTGAGGCAAGAGAATCGCTTGAATCTGGGTGACAGAGGTTGCAGTGAGCCGAGATCCTGCCACTGCACTCCAGCCTGGGTGACAGAGCAAGACTCCATCTCAAAAAAAAAAAAAAAAAAAGAATGGATAGAAAGTACCTCAAACAGGATATGGACTACTGATGCTCACTGACATAAAATAATTACTGCTAGCTTAGTCAGTGTAAGAAGAGAGGCAAGTACTGAGGGCCAAGAAGGAAAAAATTTAAAATTTTATTTACATATATATTTATATACACACATAATATAATTTGGACCCTTTAAAGAAGCCAAAATTTTAATTATAATGAATACTCCTAGTTTCATAAAGACAATCCACAGTTTGCATATCATATTGGTAATTGAAATTAACTTTAATTAAGCATGGACTAACAGGATCCCTCGAACATAACTATGGACTAGGAGTGTTTACTCGGTACAACTAATGGGCCCATCTCTTTTTTTCCATGCCTTCAGAACCTACACACAGAAAGTGGAAATCGCTTAACTAAAAGAGCTCAGTCCTCAAGGCTCCCAGGAACAACAGTTCAAAATCTGAATGTGACTTCTTTTTTTTTTTTTTTTTTTTTTTTTTTGAGACGGAGTCTCGCTCTGTAGCCCGGGCTGGAGTGCAGTGGCCGGATCTCAGCTCACTGCAAGCTCCGCCTCCCAGGTTTACGCCATTCTCCTGCCTCAGCCTCCTGAGTAGCTGGGACTACAGGCGCCCGCCACCTCGCCCGGCTAGTTTTTTGTATTTTTTAGTAGAGACGGGGTTTCACGGTGTTCGCCAGGATGGTCTCGATCTCCTGACCTCGTGATCCACCTGTCTCGGCCTCCCAAAGTGCTGGGATTACAGGCTTGAGCCACCGCGCCCGGCCGACTTCTACCTGAAGCTATTAATATTATGCAGCTATCCTGGTCATTTCGTCAATGAAATGTTTATGAAAGATCTACCTTTAATATGCCTCATTTGCTCTAAACTACATTTCTATATACCTTTCAAATAAAAGTAAAACAAGGTTTTTCACCACATAGACATATAAAACATAGACACCATGCTTGCCTTCATGAATGTGGAAGATTCCCTGTTTCTTGGGGTTCTGGGGTCCTTGAGTCAGTCCTCTTCCAGGAGTAAGCTGCCCCTTGCCCAAGGCACAAAGCCTATAAAACAAGATAAAACACAGAGTAGGTTCCCCAGCTTTTTCCCTGGCAATCTCAAAGACCTACCCTCCTCCCAGAGTATCTGGCCATACCACCCTTAGTATATATTGTCTTGCAGGAGTCTGTAGTTGTTTCACAAGTGTATGTATGTTTTCATGAGGCTATTCCATAAATCATTTCTCCCACTAAACATTTCTTGAGAGCAGAGACCAATTAGGTAATTATCTACAAAATAAATAAAAGATGGCAACTAGGTTTAATGGATTTATTATTGGTCTATTTTATTAGTTTCAGAAGTCCATAATCGATTTGGTAAACAACTGAGCAAACTCATTATGAACAATTTATTCTGTTCTTTATTATCGCACCATATCTCCTCAATAAATAAGATAAACCCAATTATAAAGTAAACTTTGAACACTGAATTAGCCCTTTCCAGATGCAAAGAAAGTGTTTATTTAACTTATGCAGAAATTTTCTAGAGTCCCAACACAATAAAATAAAAGCTATCTACTGGCCACGGTGGCACAGGCCTGTAATCCCAGCACTTTGGGAGGCTGAGGCAGGTAGACAGGTTGAGCCCAGGAGTTCAAGACCAGCCTCGGCAACATGGCAAAACCCCATCTCTACAAAAAATACAAAAATTAGCCAGGTGTGGTGGCATGCACCTGTGGTCCCAGCTACTCAAGAGGCTCAGGTGGGAGGATCACTTGAACCCAGGAGGTCGAGGCTGCAGTGAGCCAAGATTGCACCACTGCACTCCAGCCTAGGCAACAAAGTGAGACCCTACTTCAAAAAAACAAAAGATAAAAGCTGTCTAACTAAATGTGCCTAACCTACTCTCCCAAAATAAGTTGATTTTGGTTCATTATTGCTTAAGTGTTGACTCCTTTTTTTTTTTTTTTTTTTTTTTTTGAGACGGAGTCTCGCTCTGTCACCCAGGCTGGAGTGCAGTGGCCGAATCTCAGCTCACTGCAAGCTCCGCCTCCCGGGTTTACGCCATTCTCCTGCCTCAGCCTCCCGAGTAGCTGGGACTACAGGCGCCCGCCACCTCGCCCGGCTATTTTTTTGTATTTTTTAGTAGAGACGGGGTTTCACCGTGTTAGCCGGGATCGTCTCTCGATCTCCTGACCTCGTGATCCGCCCGTCTCGGCCTCCCAAAGTGCTGGGATTACAGGCTTGAGCCACCGCGCCCGGCCAAGTGTTGACTCCTAATCACACAATATTAGGTCAGGGGTAGCACACAGGCAACATCACAGATTAATAAACGGATCTGTGAGAGCACAGTTGAAGAGGGCAAGGCGCTGAATAGGTCAAGAACCCTGCAGGCCAGGCGTGGTAGCTCACGCCTGTAATCCCAGTACTTTGGGAGGCCAAGGTAGGCAGATCACTTGAGGTCAGGAGTTCGAGACCAGCCTGGCCAACATGGTGAAACCCTGTTTATACTAAAAATCCAAAAATTAGCTGGGCGTGGTGGCAGGCACCTGTAATCCCAGCTACTTGTGAGGCTGAGGCAGGAGAATCGCTTGAACCCAGGAGACGGAGGTTGTAGTGAGCCGAGAACATGCCACTACACTCCAGCCTGGGTGATAGAGCGAGACCCTGTCTCAAAAAAAAAAAAAAAAAAAAAAAACCAGAACCCCAGATACTGTCACCCATTCTAGTTCAATTTACTAGTAAATTCTCACTACCTAATGTAGGAATAAGCAATGACTAACAAAAAAGAGATACTTTTAATTTTCTTTAGAGACCAAGCTACTATAGATTTCTCTTCTGAAGGACAGCATTCAGAGAAAGTCTCTCAGTATTTACAGTATTCTGTAAAATCTACATGCAGTGTTGACACTGTGCTGTTAGAACAAATCCTTATCCTTTCACCAAGTCAAATCATCTAATTGCACAGAACACAGAAATATGAGTACATGCTCCTTGGCTAATTGAACTTCTTAGTCACCCAGTTATCTTATTTGGTTGCAACACAATCCCTGCTGGTCTACGAAGACCAAAATTCTTGCTGGAGGATTTGGGATTTTGGATCTCTGTTTATTCTTCAATCACACAGCTAATGAGCCTCTCTCGTATATATTTTAGTTTTACTTTTTCACGAAAAATATTCAATTCCTGTACTTTTGCATGCAGATAATATATTTTTTTTTTTTTCAGACGGAGTCTCGCTCTGTCGCCCAACCTGGAGTGCAGTGGTGCGATCTCAGCTCACTGCAAGCTCTGCCTCCCGGGTTCACACCATTCTCCTGCTTCAGCCTCCCAAGTAGCTGGGACTACAGGCGCCCACCAGGCATGGTGGCTCACGCCTGTAATCCTAACACTTTGGGAGGCCGAGGCGGGTGGATCACCTGAGGTCAGAAGTCCGAGACCAGCCTGGTCAACATGGTGAAACCCCATCTCTACTAAAAACATAAAAGTTAGCCAGGCATGGTGGTGCGCACCTGTAGTCCCAGCTACTCTGGAGGCTGAGGCAGAATCATTTGAACCCAGGAGGCGGAGGTTGCAGTGAGCTGAAATGGCATCATTGCATTCCAGCCTGAGCAACAGAGCAAGACTCCATCTCAAAAAAAGAAATTAGCATTTTACAACTGAATATATCTGGTTTTAAAGAACACACTGGAAAAAGCTAATCCTTTCTATTGCTATGATTAGCTGAAAGAGCAAAAAAAAAATGACCCCCAACGCATTAATAGCAACTATAATAGATATGTTAAATGTATCCAATATAAGAAGTGGGATCTGATTCTGAATGGCTAAATACCCTGAATACACACCACTAACAGGAGCTATATAACCAGTCTCACATATCTGAATAAATACACATATACACAGAAATTGTTTTGTTACACTAAGAAGCAGCATTTTCTGAAGAGGGATGAAAATCATTCTGTCCTGCTTGTGTGAGAGGCAATACAGTATAGGGGTTAAGAGCCCAAAGGCTGGGCACACTGGCTCACACCTATAATTCCAACACTTTGGGAGGCCAAGGCAGGCGTATCACTTAAGGTCAGGAGTTTGAAACCAACCTGGCCAACATGGTGAAACCCCATCTCTACTAAAAATATGAAAATTAGCTGGGCATGTTGGCGGGCACCTGCAGTACCAGCTCCTCGGGAGTCTGAGGCAGGAGAATTGCTTCAACCCAGGAGGTGGAAGCTGCAGTGAGCTGAGATTGTGCCACTGCACAGCAAGACTCTGTCTCAAAAAAAAAAAAAAAAAAAAAAGAGCCCGATCATGCTGCTTATTAGCTGAGTGACCTTAGACAAGTTACCTAGCCTCCCTGATCCTCAGTTTCCTCATCTGTAAAATGGGGATAATACTACTACCTATCCCATAGGATTGTCAAAAGGATAAAGGAATTAACACATATTAAACCCTGAAGGGCATGTCTAGAAGATCATGTCTAATATACTGACAAGTCCTCAAAAAACTCTAGCTATCATTATTCCAGAAAGTCATGCTTCTCCAAAGTCTCCTCTAAAGAGCAAAAAGAACCAGGCTGGGCACAATGGCTCATGCCTGTAATCCCAGCACTTTGAGAGCCCAACGTGGGAGGATCACTTGAGACCAGCGTGGGCAACATAGGGAGATCCCGTCTCTACAAAAAAATTTTAAAATATTAGTCAGGCGTAGTGGTGCACACTTGTGGTCATAGCTACTCAGGAGGCTGAGGTGGGAGGATCACTTGAGCCCTGGGGAGGTCAAGGCTGCAGTGAGCCATGATCGCACCACTGCACTCTAGCCTGGGTAAAAGAGCAAGACTCTGTCTCCAAAAAAAAAAAAAAAAGAAAGAAAGAAAGATTGCCTCAGCCAGGCACTATCATGGACCATTGCCAAACATAGAATCAACTGAGGAGAGGAAAGAAGGGAGTTAATGAATACAGAGAAACACTTTGGTCAATTTATTTGGAAAATTGTGGTCCTAGAGCCCCATTGCTTTGCATGCTGCCTTAAGAAATTTGGAAATACATTCCTGTGACACAACAAAGGCATAATTGGAACACTTTTTGAAAAATGTTGCTTACACCAATAGCATATTGGTAATAATAAATCTACATCATACTGTCAACATAGTATTCGGGAATATTCGGGTAATAGTAATTTTTTTTTTTTTTAGACAGTCTCACTGTCACCCAGGCTGGAGTGCAGTGGCGACATCTTGGCTCACTGCAACCTCCACCTCCCGAGTTCAAGCGATTCTCATGCCTCAGCCTCCCGAGCAGCTGGGATTACAGTTGTGCACCACCATGCCCAGCTGGTTTTGTATTTTTAGTACAGACAGGGCTTCACCATGTTGAACAGGCTGGTTTTGAACTCCTAACCTCAAGTGATCAGCCCGCCTCGGCCTCCCAAAGTGCTGGAATTACAGGCGTGAGCCACCACGCCTGGCATGTAATGGTGACTCTTCACTACATTTGGTATCCTATTTACTGATAATCTGATGGAAACTGTGGACCTTGAGCGGGTGTGGGAAGGGCTGGAATACATTTTTGCTCACACACAAAATGGTATATACTATTTCAGGAGGTGCACAGACCCTTTTTGATACCCCCATGTCCTCCTATATTTGAAGATTCTGATTCAAACCAACCTCCTTAAGAAACTGAGGCCCCAATTTCGGATGACTTTCCCCAGTGCCAGTCAACAGGCACACCAGCAGAGTCCGGATGAAGCCCAGTTCTTCCGATCTCCCCCAACACGCACACAAACCACACTGAGGTGGAGGAGGTGAGAGAATGGTTTTAATCAATACTTAACACTTCAGTACCTCAGGGTTACTGGCTTATCTCCTGATAAGCCCTCAGGAGTCTTACTTATAGCAAAACCTCTAGGCCTTTACTGTGGAGAGGCCTTTGTGACGCTCAAGTCCAAGGACCTCATGAGTGAACCTTTCCAATCAAAGGAAATCAAGGAACTCAAGGCCTCCACGGCCGGCCTAGGGAGTCACGTAAGTCACCCTGGAGGTGTGAATAGAAATGTCTTGGCTCAGCCCTGGGTCCCAAGCATACAGCAGTTGGCAAGGAAGAGTGTTCAGTGCAATAACAGGCAATGCTACTCATATACCCTCCACTCCGAGGAAATAACCTCTATTTAGAGACTAAACAAAGTCAGGTGCCTCTTGCAAGTCTAAAAAAGAAAAGAAGCTACAAAGGTTGCCCACCAAAGAACCTAATCATCTCAGTCGATATTCATTTGTGAACTCCTCCTCTCACTAGACACTAAGAGATTATCTGCTTAACGTTCAATAGTTTTTTGTTTGTTTGTTTGAGACACAGTCTCACTGTGTCGCCCAGGTTGGAGTGTAGAGGCGCGATCCCAGCTCACTGCAAGCTCTGCCTCCCAGGTTCACACCATTCTCCTGCCTCAGCCTCCCGAGCAGCTGGGACTACAGACGTGCACTACCACGCCCGGCTAATTTTTGTATTTTTAATAGAGAGAGGGTTTCGCCATGTTGGCCAGGCTGGTCTCAAACTCCTGGCCTCAAGTGATCCATCCACCTCGGCCTCCCAAAGTGCTGGGACTACAGACGTGCACCACCACGCCCGGCCTCAATAGAATTTTCAAGAAAGGAACACAGGGTTATGAAAGCACTTGAACAGGACCATGGAGCTTTTGTAGAAGACCTTTCACATTGCAAGCTAAAGTCAACTGTGGCCCCTCTCATAATGACTTTCAGTTGTCTTCAAATAGTTTAACAAAGGTTTTTTGTTTGTTTTTAAGTACTATAAACAAGAGAGACAGAACCCTACAACTGATAACAAAGTCCCCAGGAACAGTGAGAGAGAGATCCAGGACCTCCAAGAGAATTGATGGGGTTAATGTGAGTCAAAAGCACGATGAGTCACATCAGGGGGACAGGCCCACTGGCAGCGAGATAACTTCAGAAACTGGAGTAGGTGTGAGCCTGGGAGCCAGCAGGCAGAAAACTCGGAAAGGCTGGCATGCTCACGTGAAAGGGATTAGAGAGACCTGGATACGCTCGGAGTCTAAGGCCCTCAGGCCTTAACTGTGCCAGCTGGGAAGATTACATATACAAAAAGGCATCCTCCCTTACCCACGTGGTCCAATCAAAGCACCCAGCCTCTTATAAGGGCTTTGTGGCTCATTAAAGGTAAAGTTCAAATAGGCACCAGGGCCCTAGACGCACAGTCCTTGGGTCCTGGGAGCCAAAAGTTACCCTGCAATCTCTGCCAATGTTACAACAAACTTAAGTCACAGCCTAAGTAGGTCAAGCATTTAATCCTAAAAATGTCCTCCAAAGGAGGATGGAGGGCTAGAGGTAACACAGAACTCAAAATACCATCTTTCTGACAAGGGGCTACCCCAACGCGGCTACCAACCACACCCCTGATGAGCAAGGAGAAAGGAATTTTAGGGAACACCCAACTTCCTCCCTTAAAAGTGTCGCTTTGCTTTTAATATCAAACTCAGTGCCAGAAGTCGCCAAAGTGGGGGCGAGGTTCTCCCAACCCAAGGCCGGCGGGCTCATGTCCGGCCGGAGTCACAGTGGGCGAGCGCCCCTTATCAGCGAGCCCAGATGCCCATACGTGGCCCACTTCTTCCGCCCGGGCCAGCCCGGAGCTCAGAGGGAAGGCGGGGGCGCCCCAGGCTACCGCCCTGCCAGCCCCTTCCACGCGCTGCCACCTACCGCAGTGCTGCCCGCCTCATTGCACTAGGCTGCCGTGAGCGCGATGGAGAACCGGGTCCCGCGCGCTAGTCGGCGGAGGGAAACTGAGGCGATCAAAGACGCATGAGCACCCGACCGCGCCCTAGCTGCGAGACAGCCTGGGGGCCGGACCGTGGGGTCCGGGGGTGGGGCTTCGCTGTGCCGGGGCGGGGCCGCGCTGTGCCGGGGCGGGGCCGCGCTGTGCCGGGCGGACCCTACCAGTTCATTGACTGAAGGCTGGAGTCCGCCTCTGCGGAGCTTCCTACTCAATCAGCTGTGCAAGTCGTGTTGCTAGAGCGAGGACCGGCCTATTCTCGGTTGAGTAAACGAACCACGCAGCAACGCCAGAGCGTGATGTCGAGAAGAGGCGCGGCCCCGCCTGGTGGAACTTGTCTCCTTTATCCTTGATCCCCGCGTCTTGGCTTCGTCTGTTCTTACCCTGGGCTGCACATTGGAATCTCCTGGGCAGCTTTCCAAAATACTGATACTTGGCCGGGCGCGGTGGCTCACGCCTGTAATCCCAGCACTTTGGAAGGCCTAGGCGGGCAGATCACCTGAGGTCAGGAGTTCCAGACCAGTCTGGCCAACATGGCGAAACCCCGTCTCTACTAAAAATACAAAAATTAGCCGGGCGTGGTGGCAGACGCCTGTAATCCCAGCTACTCGGGGGACAGACACGAGTATCTCTTGAACCCGGGAGGCGGAGGTTGCGGTGAGCGGAGATCGCACCACTACACTTCAGCTTGGGCGTCAGAAGGAGACTCTGTCTCAACAACAACAAAAAAACCCTGATGCTTGAGACCCACTGGCTGGAGATTCTGGTTTAGTCCTGGGCGCGGTCTGGGCTTCGGGATGATGTCTAAGGGTGCCCCCAGGTGATGCTAATGTAACCAGAGGCTAAGAACCACTGACCTAAAGGGAAAAACATTGTTCGTCTTCTCTTCTCGGCCTGACCCCTAATGTTTGACATCTTGGCCGAGCTAGAGAGATTCAAGGCCAGAGCGTTTAAGATTCTTTCACCCTACGACCTAATTCTCCATTTCTTTCAATGGTTATTACTGACTTGCTTGCATTGTGCCAGGCACTATTGCAGAGATTGGGGTTACAAAAAGAAAAAAAGGACAAAAATCCCCGCCCTTAAGGCGCTTGCCTGTTGATAAGGAAGGAAAACAAATCAACAAACAAGTTAGCAAATAACATGATTTCTTTCTTTCTTTTTTTTTTTTTTTTTTTTTTTTTTTTTTTTTGAGACGGAGTTTCGCTTTTTTTGCCCAGGCTGGAGTGCAGTGGCGCGATCTCAGCTCACCGCAACCTCCGCCTCCCGGGTTCACGCCATTCTCCTGCCTCAGCCTCCCGAGTAGCTGGGATTACAGGCATACACCACTATGCCTGGCTAATTTTTGTATTTTTAGTAGAGACAGGGTTTCGCCATGTTGGCCAGGCTGGTCTTGAACTCCCGACCTCAGGTGATCCACCCACCTCGGCCTCCCAAAGTGCTGGGATTACAGGCGTGAGCCACCGCGCCCGGCCAACATGATTTCAAATATAGTAAAGCAGTTTAAAGGAGAAATAAGGTAATGAGTGGGGATCTTTTGAGAATATAAGCAAGTCGTGCTTTGCCTCTAAAGATGGCAATTTCCTAAAAGGCAAGGGCCATATGCTTTTTCACAATACCTCATGCTAAGTAAAAATGTATTGATTTGAATTAAGCTAGATTTCTGTTTTGAATCACTTCATGAGTTACACATGGAGCATGGTCTTCAGCTTTCTCTTTCTACCAAATTTCCCCTGCTTTTATCAATCTCACATCTGGAAGACACCCCTTTTAGCCGACAAGGATCTCTCCTTCATTTTTGTTCACATTGTCTGTACCTTTTCAGTGATTGTCTTGTTGGTTTTGTGTCAGCCATATTTCTTTATACTCTACCACACCTAACACAGAGGGCAATAAATATTGTATTGAATTATACTATTTTTGTTCTTCTTTTTACTTGAACTTTTCTTAGAAGCAATAGGAGGCTCAGGGAGAAAAAATAAGTATAAGAGAGAATTTTTTGTAAATGGTATAATAGGTAGGTACAGTTTATAGTTTTTCCTGCAATCGAGTCACCTTCCATCAATTTCCAAATTATAAAGACACATTCTCATCAATATAATAAACACCATCGATGTTGGCTGGAACAGCCGAAACCAAGGACTTAATGCCATGCAGATGCCATCTCTCTATTGCTTATCTTTGCTTTCCTTTGCATACTGGCTTCATTCGTTTTTCACTCTATGTAATGGCATTCTCCATATGGCAATAGAAGCTCCTGAACTTTACATCTTACAACAACAGCCACACACATACAGACTGACCCAAATTTCTACGGCCCAAGTACAAAAAAATTCTGAGAAGAGATTCATTGGTTCAATTTGGATCAAGTACATACTCCTGGACTAGCCAACTGTGGCATCGGGGTAAGGAACCCTTGCCCTGACTTACCAGGAACTGCCTCACCCAGACTCATGGCCAGGTACTGGGTCACAATCTACTAACACGGCTATTTCCATAAGTAACTGTACAGACGGGGATACGGAGCACCTTCTTAGAAAAGGAGTACGGAGGCCAGGCGCGGTGGCTCACGTCTGTAATCCCAGAACTTTGGGAGGCTGAGGCAACTGGATCACCTGACGTCAGGAGTTCAATACCGGGCTGGCCAACATGGTGAGACCCCTGTCTCTACTAAAAATACAAAAATTATCTGACTGTGGTGGTGGGCACCTGTAATCCCAGCTACTCGGGAGGCTGAGGCAGGAGAATCACTTGAACCTGGGAGGCGGAGGTTGCACTGAGCTGAGATCACGCCACTGCACTCCAGCCTGGGCAACAGAGACTCCATCTCAAAAAAGAAAAAAAAAAAAAAAAAAGGAAAGAAAAGAAGAGGAGTACGGAGCAGCCAACCACATAGATGTCCACTACAGAGGTTAAAGAGGGAAAAAAATGATCACATCACTTAGCCCACCTACCTTAGTTCTAACTTCAGGGAACCCCTGCTAGACCCAGCCTGCCTAGCATTCATCCACGAGTCTCTAATTATCTCAATTGGCAGCATGCATAAAATTCTTTTTTTTTTTTTTTTTTTTTTTTTTGAGACGGAGTCTCGCTCTGTCACCCAGGCTGGAGTGCTGTGGCCGGATCTCGGCTCACTGCAAGCTCCGCCTCCCGGGTTCACGCCATTCTCCTGCCTCAGCCTCCTGAGTAGCTGGGACTACAGGCGCCCGCCACCTCACCCGGCTAGTTTTTTTGTATTTTTTAGTAGAGACGGGGTTTCACCGTGTTAGCCAGGATGGTCTCGATCTCCTGACCTCGTGATCCGCCCGTCTCGGCCTCCCAAAGTGCTGGGATTACAGGCTTGAGCCACCGCGCCCGGCCAGCATGCATAAAATTCTTAAAACAGCTTAGCAACTCTGATTTCTGTGTGTGTTGTTGTTGTCGTCGTTATTGTCAAGCATATATGCTATAACACATTTTGGATAGCAGGGAAGGAAGGGGAAATGGTCACAAAATCAGAACAGGAAACGTACAACGATTGTATAGTGGCGAGAATCACTGTCCTTAAGTAACGGGTTCTCTACCCAATGTTTTTGTTTCCTGTTATGTTCTATTAGTTCTATTTTAATATGGTCTCAGGGTAACAGAGATGGTATCAATTGTGTAATTAAAAGTTACCTAATCATGCACTGACAGATACATAAGATATTATTAATGTCATTATTACAAGTAAAACAATAAAATCAAATAACAAGGCTGGAAAGCAGTATCCCAGCACTTTGGGAGGCTGAGGTGGGAGGAGATCGCTTAAGAACAGGAGCTCAAGACCAGCCTGGTCAACATAGCAAGACCCCATGTCTTAAAAAAAAAAAATTGTTTAAATCAAACAACAAAACCTAACAAGGCATTGTCAGTTCTTTTTTTTTTTTTTTTGAGACAGAGTCTCGCTGTGTTGCCAGGCTGGAGTGCAGTGGCATAGTCTCCACTCACTGCAACCTCCACCTCCTGGGTTCAAGCGATTCTCCTGCCTCAGCCTCCTGAGTAGCTGGGATTACAGGCATACGCCACCACGCCCAGCTAATTTTTGTGTTTTTAGTAGAGATGGGGTTTCACCATGTTAGCCAGGCTGGTCTTGAATTCCTGACCTCGTGATCCACCCGCCTCAGCCTCCCGAAGTGCTGGGATTACAGGCGTGAGCCACCACACCTGGCCAATGGCATTGTCAGTTCAAGCTAGTATTATGAGTGAAAAATATCCAGTTACCATCTTTCCTTGGGCTGCTGAACAATATATACTTTTGGATATCTGATTTAGGTAGAAAATGTTCCCGGAAAACTGTCATCAACTTTCAAACAAAGTGATTCAAACTACGATTTCAACAGGACAGAGAAACTTTTTAAAAACATCTCTTATTTCCTGAATTATTCAGATTATACAAAAGGATCCACAATAAGGTTAGGAGGGGAGGGCCAGGTACGGTGGCTCATGCCTATAATCCCAGCACTTTGAAGCTTGAGGCAGGCAGATCACCTGAGGTCAGGAGTTCGAGACCCGCCTGGCCAACATGGCAAAACCCCATCTCTACTAAAAGTACAAAAAATGAGCAGGGCATGCTGTCATATGCCTGTACTCCCTGCTACTTGGGAGGCTGAGGCAGGAGAATTGCTTGAACCCGGGAGGCAGAGGTTGCAGTGAGCCAAGATCATGCCACTGCACTCAGAGCCTGAGCAACAGAGGAAGACTCCATCTCAAAATACAAATAATAATAGTAATAATAAAGTTAGGAGGGGAGAAGGAAACAATGTAAAAGTATTTTCCAGCTGGACACCGTGGCTCACCGCTGTAATCCCAGCACTTTGTGAGGCCGAGGCGGATGGATCACAAGGTCAGGAGTTCGAGACCAGCCTGGCCAATATGGTGAAACCCTGTCTCTACAAAAAATTCAAAATTAGCTGGGCATGGTGGCACAAACATGTAGTACCAGCTGCTCAGGAGGCTGAGGCAGGAGAATCACTCGAACCCAGGAAGCGGAGATTGCAGTGAGCCAAGATCATGCCACTGCACTCCAGCCTGGGTGACAGGGCGAGACTGTCCCCAAAAAAAAGTATTTTCCACCCTAACGTTAAAGAAAAAAACAGAAAGACTAGTGGGCTGTTACATGAATGTGCTTAGTTTTTTTGTTCGTTTGTTTGTTTGTTTGTTTTTTGAGACAGAGTCTCGCTCTTATCACCCAGGCTGGAGTGCAGTGGCCCAGTCTCGGCTCACTGCAACCTCCACCTCCTGGGTTCAAGCGATTCTCCTCCCTCAGCCTCCTGATTAGCTGGAACTACAAGTGCCTGCCACCATGCCCGGCTAATTTTTGTAATTTTGTGGCCCCCAGATCCACTTTTATGACTGCTTTTCAAATCCAAGTGTTGAAAGGTTCTCGTCCAGGAGGCTGAGGCAGGAGAATCACTTGAACCCAAGGAGGCAGAGGTTGCAGTAAGCCGAGATCGTGCCATTGCACTTCAGCCTGGGCAACAGAGCAAGACTCCATCTCAAAAAAAAAAAAAGAGAGAAAGGTTCTTGTCTTTAGAAATACTTTTCCCGGCTGGCGCAGTGGCTCACGCCTGTAATCCTAACATTTTGGGAGGCTGCAGCAGGTGGATCACTTGAGGTCAGGAGTTCGAGACCAGCCTGACCAACATGGTGAAACCCTGTCTCTACTAAAAATACAAAAATCAGTCAGGCACGGTGGTGCACAACTGTAATCTCAGCTACTCAGGAGGCTGAGGCAGGAGAATTGCTTGAACCCCGGAGGCAGAGGTTGTAGTGAGCCGAGACCATGCCTTTGCACTCCAGCCTGGGTAACGAGAGCAAAATTCGATCTCAAAAAACAAACAAAAAATGCTTTTCCCGCTAACAATTTTCTCTTGCTTAAAAATGGCAAACATGGCCAGGCACGGTGGCTCACGCCTGTAATCCCAGCACTTTGGGAGGCTGAGGAGGGTAGATCACTTGAGGTCCGAAGTTCGAGACCAGCCTGGTCAACATGGTGAAACCCTGTCTCTGCTAAAAATACAAAAATTAGCCGGCCGTGGTGGCGCATGCCTGTAGTCCCAGCTGTTTGGGTGACTGAGGCAGGAGAATTGCTTGAACCTGGGAGGCAGAGGTTGCAGTGAGTCGAGATCGCGTCACTGCACTCCAACCTGGGCGATGAAGCAAAACTCCACCGCCAAAAAAAAAAAGAAGGAAAGAAAGAAAAAGGCAAACATTTAAAACATGTAATACTATTATTAACATAGGATCAGAGGGTATTTGTAAGGACAGAACATCTGCATTTCAGGGTGTCACCTTCAATAAAGCTGTCTCTTTCAATAATATAGGGATACAGAGTCAGATGTACAAAAGGTTTATTGGGGGCAATGCCTATAAAACATAAAAGGGAGAGGGAACAGGACCAGACAGGGAACACCTTTAGTTCATGATGTTCTCAGGACTAAAACCTGAGAAAGGAGAGGGGCCAGGAAAGATATTTGGGTAGGAGGAGCCTTGGACTGCAGTGCAGCTCTGAGAAAGCCTAGGCCTGTGAAACAGAGAGTGCTGGTGCAAAGATTGCCCTCCCGAAAAGTCCCGTACTGGCCAGAAGTGGTGAGCCCTTGTACCACGGCAGTGCCTGGCCTTTGCTTTGAGGCTGTCTGGGAAGCATGTAGCCTCAGCTTGAAAGCTGAGGCAGATCCTGATGGCTGTCTGCTAACTCTACCCCTTGTGGCAGGTTCTCTGCTGAAGGGAGATCTGAGTGGGACACCTCCACGGCTAGCACGGGTCACCCCCTGCACTGCACAGATCGATTTCTCCATACACATTCAGGGAACTCCTCCATGGTTCCCATGGGTCTCTCTTCCTGAAGGGTAACTCAGAAGAGGGAGGTTAGTAGGACTAACTACAGCCCCTGTCACTACAGTTGGTATTGGAGTCACAGTTGGTTCTCATCTTGTCTCTCCTCTACCATGTATTTTAAATGCCCCTCACCTCTAGCTTTCCTGAAGGTGTAACCCAAACCCTCATTCCTGGGAGGTCTGAGCCCCTGGTAATCATATCCATTTCACACCAGGGTTGCCGCACGTGTCCATTCGCAGTCACAACCAGGCAAAGGAATACCAAGAAGTGCCCAACTAGATTGATCACCCAAGTTCCACACACATTTCTCTCTGCCTCATTGTACAACAGCAGCCTCTTCCTGCTGATTGAGAGCAAGTATCCCTGCCAAGGTGCTGACTCCTTGGCCATAAGAAGTCCAAAGGCCTGGCCACACCCACACTTGTGTCCACTGGCAAGAATGTGCCCCTTTGCAGAACAGAACCTTGAACCCTGCAGAGCCCACAGTTGCAAATTCAGGAAACATGAGTCCCCCTGTGGGCCATTAGAAATGATGGTAATTGGAGGCCAGGTGCAGTGGCTCAAGCCTGTAATCGCAGCACTTTGGGAGGCTGAGGTGGGCGGATCACTTGAGGCCAGGAGTTCAAGAGTAGCCTGGCCAAAGTGGCGAAACCCCATCTCTACTAAAAATACAAAACTTAGCCAGGCATGGTGGCACGCGCTTGTAGTCCCAGCTACTTGGGAGACTGAGGCATGAGAATCACTTGAACCCGAGAGGTGGAGGTTGCAGTGGGCCGAAATCACACCACTGCACTCCAGACCGGGCGACAGAGTGAGACTCTGTCTCAAAAAAAAAAAAAAAAAAAAAAAGTATTCTCTTGCTGGCCTTGAAGAAGAAAGAAGTTATACAATTGCAAGAAAATGAATTCTGCCAACAACCAAATGAACTTAGAAGACAGACCCCAGCCCCAGCTGACACCTTGATTCCAGCCTTGGAGACCCTGAACAGAGGACTCGGCTAAGCTATGCCCAGACTCTTGACCCACAGAAACTCTAAGGTAATAAACATGTGTTGTTTATGCCACTAAATTTGTGTTAATTTGTTACCTAGCAATAGAACATGAATATAGTGCCTATATTTCATCCTGGAGGGTGGTACCCCATACTTGCAGAGTCTTGTCTCCAAGCCGGCACTTCAGTTACACCTTCAGCAGATCATTCAAATGCTCTGTTAGGATGGCTACTTGTGAAGGCTGTGGTATATGATATGAACGATGAATCCTATTGGTCAGGACCTGCTCCCACTCCGCCTTCATGATGAAGCAGGTCTCCTCAGATGCCATCTGGTGTGAGAATCCAGGCCTGTGGATCAGGCATTCCAAAAACCCCAGGATAATCATGGTAAATGAGGCCCTACAGGTAGGAAAGGCAGTCATACTTAGAGAAAATACTGATTCCCGTGCCAGCAAATCTCTAGCTCTTCTCAGGTGCAGTGGCTCATGCCTGTAATCCCAGCACTTTGGGAGGCCAAGGCAGGTGGATCAGTTGAGGTCAGGAGTTCAAGACCAGCCTGGTCAACTGGTGAAACCCCACCTATATAAAAATACAAAAATTAGCCGGTCATGGTAGCATGTGCCTGTAATCCCAGCTACTCAGGAGGATAAGGCAGGAGAATCACTTGAACCCAGGAGGTGGAGGTTGCAGTGAAGCAAGATCGGGCCACTGTACTCCAGTCTGGGTGGTAGAGGAGATTCAGTCTCAATAAATAAATAAACAAATAAATATTTTTTTTAAATCGCTGGCCCTTCTAAAGTAATACGGTCCAATGTCATCAACTTGCCAATTAGCTTGTGAGTCTCCTTGAAGAAGAGTGCCATGTCAGGGGACTTGGCATTGGTCTCTGATGGCAGGTTGGACATTCAAAGGTGGTAGTAACCAGATGAACCTTCATAAGTGGGAGTCCATGCTGTTGAGCCCAGGAGGCCTGAGAACCTGGGGAAGGCACTGGTGCAAGTCCCTGAAGCTATGAGTGTCCCTAAAGTCTAATTGCAAACACAGCAGGCATAATTGCACTCCCAGATATGATGAAGCCCTGTGCTTGGGGGCCAGTTGCCAAGTCAACATGCAGACTGCCAGTTCAGAAAAAGGACAGCAAATGAGCAATTAATGTAAATGTCTACTGGATTAAAAACCCAGTTAAAAACAATATTGCTGGCCGGGTGCAGTGGCTCACACCTGTAATCCCAACAGTTTGGGAGGCCAAGGCGAGCGGATCACCTGAGGTCGGGAGTTCGAAACCAGCCTGACCAACATGGAGAAACCCCATCTCTACTAAAAATACAAAATTAGCCGGGTGTGGCGTCACATGCCTGTAATCCCAGCTACTCGGGAGGCTGAAGCAGGAGAATCACTTAAACCCGGGAGGTGGAGGTTGCGGTGAGCCAAGATCGTACCATTGCACTCCAGCCTAGGCAACAAGAGCAAAACTCGGTCTCAAAAAAATAAAAAAATAAAAAAATATTGCTCCATATACAGTTGTGCCTAGTAGCTCAGGAGACTACCATCAAGTCCATTTTTAAAATGTGGTTTTCTCGGGCAGGCGCAGTAGCTGATGCTTGTAATTCCAGAACTTTGGGAGGCCGAGGTGGATAGATCAGCTGAGGCCAGGCGGTCAAGACCAGCCTGGCCAACATGGCGAAACCCCATCTCTACTGAAAATACAACAACAACAAAAAATTAGCCAGGCGTGGTGGTGCACACCGGTAATCCCAGCTACTCGGGAGGGTGAGGCATGAAAACTGCTTGAACCTGGGAGGCGGAGGTTGCAGTGAGCCTCGATTGTGCCACTGCACTCCAGCCTGGGCAACGGAGTGAGACTCCTTCTCAAAAAAAAAAAAGTAAAAAAGCGGTTTTCTGAAATGTCATGTAACATTACCTGATTATCTGACCCCGTACCGTCTATCATCATTTGACTGGGGATGGAGGTGAGGAAAGAAGTGAGATCAAGACATGAAACAATTTTGCTGGACTCAGCTCAGCGATGATGCAAACTTTACATTTCAGAGCTCTAAGGGACCTGGAAAACTATCCTATTCCTTCTCTCCTCTCCTCATATACAAATGTTTTTGTAAATTTTTGTACAACTTTTTAAACAATGAGGCTGGGCATGGTGGCTCACACCTATAATCCCAACAATTTGGAAGGCCAAGGCGGGAGGATCACCTGAGCCCAGGAGTTCAAGACCAGCCTGGGCAACGTAATGAGACCTCGTCTCTACAAAAAATACAAAAATTAGCCAGGCACGGCGGCCCATGCCTGTGGTCCCACCTACTTGAAAGGCTGAGACAGGAGGATCACTTGAGCCCAGGAGGTCCAAGCTGCAGTGAACTGTGATAGCATTCCAGCCTGGGCGATAAAGCGAGACTGCATCTCAAAAACCAAACAAACAATGTTTTTAACAAGGAAAATATGACTTAGTGAACTTAAAAGACTTGCCTAAGGCCATAATGGCAGAACCAGAACTATAATCCAAGGCTCCTAAAAGCCAGTCAAGACATTTTTCAGCCCCCTACATCATCTCTCAAGAGCTATGAATATACACAACAGCAATTTGCATGGCTAAGCACATGTTCTGAGAAAAGAGAACATGTTTTCCAGTTGGTAAATCAAGCTGCAACTTTTAGAAAAGAAAGATACAATACAAAAAGAAAGAAAAAGGAATCAAACTTTTTACAATAATCAGTTAAGCAAGTTTTTTTATGATTTGAGGCAGAGATGAATCAGAAAATTCCACACTGCTCTCCCCTCTGACTCTGAGGGCTATTTTTACGGAAGTGACCTAAGATGCTTATAGTAATATAATAAGAGTCAAACGTTTCCTGGCAGCCAATCTAGAAAAAAGAATAGAATATTGGAATTGGCAACAACCCTATAAGAACAGGTTCAGGCTGGGCGTGGTGGCTCACGCCTGTAATCCCAGCACTTTGGGAGGCCAAAGTGGGAGGATCACTGGATCTCAGGAGTTTGAGACCAGCCTGGGTAATATAGTGAGACCCTGTCTCTACAAAATAAAATAAAATAAAATAAAATAGCCGGGTGTGGTGGCGCATACCTGGGGTCCCAACTACTCAAAAGGCTGAGGTGGGAGGATCACTTGAGCCCAGAGGTTGAGGCTACAGTGATCTGTGATCATACCACTGCATTCCAGCCTGGGCAACAGAGTGAGACTGTGTCAAAAAAAAAAAAAAAAAAAACAGGTTCAGCAAACCTGACCCCTAAAGTAGAAATGCCTTTTTGTAACCCTTTTTCCAGAAGCTCCCCATTCTTTAGGGCAGTTCTGTTGGGGTATTCTTCTTATTAAACATTTTTCTTTACATGGAGCTAATATCTGCTTCCTGGAACTGCCCCTGATATGACACAGAATAAGTCTAAGTCTAGTCCCACTGTCTTTTTTTTTTTTTTTTGAGATGGAGTCTTGCTTTGTTGCCCAGGCTGGAGTGCAGTGGCGTGATCTCGGCTCACTGCAACCTCCACCTCCCGGGTTCAAGCGATTCTCCTGCCTCAGCCTCACGAGTAGCTAGGACTACAGGTGCATGCCACCATGCCCGGCTAATTTTTTGTATTTTCAGTAGAGACGGGGTTTCACCATGTTAGCCAAGATGGTCTCGATCTCCTGACCTTCTGATCCACCCGCCTCAGCCTCCCAAAGTGCTGGGATTACAGGCATGAGCCACCATGCCTGGCCTAGTCCCACTTTCTTGTACAAGCCTTCAAGTTTAAATCTTTGCCATGTTACTCCTTTCCTTTCATCTTCTTGAGTTCAGTTAAATATTGCCAGTTCCTTCAATGACACAGTGGTTTGCAGCCCTAAACCAGAGTAGTCATCCTCCAAGGCTGTTTAAGGCACGTATTCTACAAACACGAATGCAGGATGCTGCTATATGCCATTCCATGTGCCTGGGGGAGGATGTCCACCCCGACATTGTAATGAGAAAAAATAACTCCGCTTCTCAGTCCAGACATTGGGTAAATGTTAGTAGATGTACAGAACAGGTGCATATTATTCCATACCCTCCCACCCCAATCCTCTATTCCATGATCATCTCAACTCCTTGCCTCTCATGGCACTTGGGAGATTGAGGATTGATCAATCCCTGATTGTTACTGATGTCTGATGCCCAGCCTATAACTGATCTCACTACTTACTTCCCTTCACTTGTGACTAATTATAGAAGCAGTTATATCAAGCAGGGCCAGGGTCAGGACCAGGATGTGGCAAGTGAGGCATTTGCCTTGAATGCAAATTTGATTTTTCTAATATTCCATTGAAATATTATTTATCTTGATTATTGGGGGGTTTGCACCCCTTTAAATTCTGCACAGGTGAATGTCTCACTTGCCTCTTCCTAATCTCGGCCCTGATTCATGGTTGGATTGACCAGTGAGACCAAGAACCAAGAGCTTGGACTAACCAAGAGGTCAGAGTTCATTTTGAGTGATAGCCCTCCTATTCAGCTAGAAGAGAGATTTATCTGATTTCCCTTAAACCTCCCACACACAGAGAAATTGTCAGATTTCATCAGAGCAGGGGCCATAGGTCCATATATCACCTCCCACCAGAGTGCCAGCTCCTGATGTACCTTTCTGTCCTATTCCAGGGCTTAGATATCTAACTTGTGAACCAATAGGCGAGAAGAAGTCAGAATACAAGAAAAATACTGACGGTTGAAGGCACCAATATTGGAATCCTCCATTGCTGATGACCAGGTTAGTCCCAAGGCCTTTTGGTTAAAAGTAATGAATTTTTCAAGTGAAAGGTGATAGGGCTGGTTACATTTAGGGTCAGCAAAGTCATAAAGAATATCACCAGAAGCAACTCTTACTAGTTGGTTTGTTTTGTTGTTGTCATTGTTGTTTTGAGACAGAGTTTCACTCTTGTTGCCCAGGCTGCAGTGTGATGGCACAATCTCGGCTCACTGCAACCTCCGGCTCCTGAGTTCAAGTGATTCTCCTGCTTCAGCCTCCCAAGTAGCTGGGATTACAGGCACCCACCACCATGCCCGGCTAACTTTTATATTTTTAGTAGAGATGGGGTTTTACCATATTGGCCAAGCTAGTCTCGAACTGCAGACCTCAAGTGATTCACCTGCCTCAGCTTCCCAAAGTGCTGGGATTACAGGTATGAGCCACTACGCACGCCCGGGCACTAGTTGGTATTTTTAAAAGGGGTTCCTATTGAATTTCTATATTGTTGTTTAACATAATTAGTAAAAATCTGCCAGGGTAAAAATTACAGGATTGGGCCAGGTACAGTGGCTTATTCCCGTAATCCCAGCACTTTAGGGGGCTGAGGCGGGTGGACCACTTGAGGTCAGGAGTTCGAGACCAGCCTGGCCAACAGGATGAAACCCCAT